CTTTGCTCCTGGCTCATCTGAGTGCTTGAAGGGTTCCTCAATTCCTCGAGCTTCTCTGGATGTTGCTTCTTAGTCGTGTCAATGCATGGCTTCCCTTCTTGTTTGGAGTGGTGGAGTTTCTTTGGCAGCAGTTTGATCTTGCGGAATACCAGTGAGTGATCGGAGTCACAGTCAGAACTGTGGTATGAGCGAGCAAGAAGCACATGCTTGAGGCTTGTACATCTGACAATGACCATGTCAAGCAGGTGCCAGAGCTTGGATGGAGGGTGGCACCATGACACTCTGTGTTGTGGCTTCGTCTAAAAATAAGAGTTGGTCATGCAGAGGCCATGATAATAGCAAAGCTCCAACAGGCGCTGCCCATTCTCGTTTATCTTGCCAACTCCAAAGGAACCCAAGCAGGAAGGCCAAGAGTTATGGTCTGCACCTACTCTGGCTTTGAAGTTGCCAGGGAGGATGAGGTGTTCACTACAGTGGATGTTCTTGATGGCGTCAGTCAGGTTAGTGTAAATATCGTGTTTTGCTTCAGGTGTGGATGTCAAGGTTAGGGCAAAGGCGCTGATGAGTATAACTGGTCCCTCAAAGGTATGGAAGCGGAGGGTCAGCAGGTGTTTTGATCCCTTGTCACCTGGTTCAACCATCTTCAGCAAGGTGTTCCTCACTGGAAACCCTACTCCATGCTCCCTGCGGTCCACAGCACTCTTTCCTTGCCAGAAGAAGGTGTAATCCTTCTCCTTCAAAGATTCCGATTCAGCCAGGTGTGTTTCTTGCAGAACGGCTATATCTACCTTCAGTCTCAGTAGCTCGTTGTCGATGACCGCTGTCTTTCTTACATCACTGATGTTCAGGAGGTCGTCAAGTCCAGTTGTCATGGTGTGGATGTTCCAGCATCCCAGATTGAGAGCTGGTCTCAATTTTAATCCTTTTTTTTTTCTTGGTGTATTATTGCTTGTCGCAGAAATTGAGGTCTGCTTGTCGGATTTCCTTATCCCCATGCACCCAATGAGGAAGGCAGACCGTGGCGGGAAAGCATCTTACTGGCTGGGGACTGCCCAACTTAAGGCAGGCGGTAGCTGTCCAATGAGATGCGAATATTTCTCCTACTGCCGGAAGCAACACTGGTGCCACATTCTACGCCTATCGAGCATTGTAGCTTATAACCGGTAGACTCCTGCTTCCCAATGTTGTTTCAGCACTGTGAAGTGAAGCTGGAGAGTCCTCTCCTGGGCGCAAGCCAGGGCAGGGTAATATAGAAGACAAGCTGTTGCCCAAGTGGCAAGTCCCACCTTCTCCACGGCGCTGATTGATCCAAAGGAGCAGCAGGGCCGATGCAGTTTGGGACCAGCACTGTCGCAGGAGTTGCCAGGGCGAGATTGCATGCAACCACGTGGGTGGTGCCTATGGGACTTCAGCTCCAGATTTTTCCTTAAGGTTTACTCCTGAAGCCTTTCCCCAAAAGAGATGTAGCTGCTAGTCAGCAGAGGTTTTTGACAGTTTAACATTTCTCTGCATGAGGCAGGTGGCACAGTGTTACATGGTTACCGGTGGCAGGTATGACCTGACCTGGATGGAAATAATGGCAGTGATATAGAGGTATGTTTTATAAGTCATGAAAGGATAGATTACTCAATAGAAGACATGACAATAATCACCAAAAACATTACATAGTAACGTAACTATGCCTTTTAAGGTTTTAACTCGTATTGTGAAATGTAATGTTACTTTGTTACTAAAGTATTTATGAGGTGAATAAGAGATTGAGTGCAGTTAGCTTTGATTATGACAGCTCTTGTTCACAGTGAATGTTTGCACACTCAAAGTGCATTACCATGTCTCTACCAACTCTTGCTACCTTACACTCAAGGGTTTATTGTTGTTATGAGTTGTAGACAAATTATTGCCGACAAATACAAGATTTCCCTGACAAAACCATTAAAAAAACATCAAAATAATGTTCACAGTACAGAAGGTATATTCCCATTTGTCTCTGGCAAAGCAATAGCAAACACAGAGGGCCAGATGTATGTACATTTGCGAATGCAGCGTTAATGGCGCCATGGCCAAGACGCAGAAAGCGCTTGATGTGAAACCACAGTGTGTGTGTTACGTACCAAACCTGCAGTTCATCAGGTAATCCGTGCCTGACCACACACACTATACCGTAAATTAGGCAATTGAATGGGCCTTGTCCTGTCACTGCTAGTGCTATGACTGTTTGAAATGATCCTGATGCCAGTAATTGTGATGCAGTAGGAGTTTAACAACAGCTGGAAGGGAATGTGAACGCTGAGCCGGAGATTCGATGTCATCTTTGATTTCTTCCAGTAAATGTAATATTGCGTAGCTGTTTAATCTGTAATGGTGATTTTAATGATTTTGTTTTCACTCACAACTGAAAAAGTGTGATTCTTGAGGCAAAAACTTTTTCAGCTCATCTCGTCCGCCCCTTTTGTCTTCATTTTGCTTGGATTACTGCTGCCACTTCACCAGGAGGCATATGCCAGGAAACCCCCTTTCCTAAGTTACTCCTGCTTTTAAGATGAAGAGAATTTTCAGCGCAAAACAGAGACACACTTTCAACGGCTTTTTCTGTACATAACACGGAATACATAATTAGGCGCAGTTTACGCTTCCCCTCCCATCTTTTTATGTGACACTTCCACTTTCCCCTTGACCATCCCATGAATGCATATGCATGACACGAAAAGTGCATTTTGCCATTTTCAGTTCCTGCCACAGGCAGTTTGCACTTTCATCTCTGTGCGTCCTGTTTGTACATACCTCGCCATGGTTTTATGCACACTTTGCGAAACAAATACGCCTGAAGTGGGCACACAAGCGTTAGTACATCTGGCCCTGACTAATTCTGCTGCAAGCTGTGGATGTGCGACTGACCTTCAAGGACTCGAACTGCTGGCACAGCATCTGCAGGAGGGACTTTTGGTCCTCGACCCAGAGAGGAGTCGTTTTGGGCGAAAACTGGAGAAGGGAACAACAGTCAGGAACCACAACGCGATGTAAACAGCAAGCAAAGCTTCTGCAGAAGCACCAGTGCCATGACATACCATAGATCTTTTAGATGGAGACGTGGAACATTTGGATGGAGACGGAGTGGAGAACTTCACATGTGGCTCAGTGGGCTGACCGGGGCTGGACGTCAGTGGATAGTCCACATGATCTTCATCCCAATCGTCATCTTCTGCAAGCTGATGGTTGACCTCGTTCAGCATATCAATCACATCCTCTATAGATGCAGGCAACTTAAAACATGAAAAAACAGAATTAAATGACTAGTAGTTCATTTAAAATCAGTTGCTCATTATCATTTAAAAGAGACATGCACCGAAGCGGGTCTCTGTGAACTGTTGCAAACCTTACATGAAGACCCTAAAGGATCATACCAACTTGTGGAAAATGGGCATCCAATGACCCCATTAAAACTATGGTTGATTACAATATCACAATACAAAAATCATGGAAATGTTATTACAAACACTACTGAAAAGCAACAGCCCTCATGATCTTTTCCAGAGTAGTAGTAGATCTGTCACAAAATTGAGACTTTTGATGAGCTTGAGTGTTTTCTTTGGTTCTCCATCAGACCGTCTCCGAAAAGTGACAGAAACTATTATTCCTCTACATGAGTGTCAGACTTCTCATGACACACGCAACCCTGATGTAGGCAATGACAATAATAGTAATAATAATAATAATTTGTTATATTTATATAGCACTTTTTCTGGGACCTCAAAGGGCTTCACAAATGGAAGGGGAGGGAATCGCCTCAACCACCACCAGTGTGCAGCATCCACCTGGATAATGCGATGGCAGCCTTATTGCGCCACAACGCCCACCACACACCAACTTACTGGTGGAGGGGAGACTGAGTGATGAAGCCAATTAGTATATAGGGATTATTAGGAGGCCATGATGGACAGAGGCCAAGGGGCAAATTTGGCCAGGATGCCGGGGTTACGCCCCTACTCTTTTTCAAAAGACATCTTGGGATTTTTAATGACCACATCGAGTCAGGACCTCAGTTAAACTTCTCATCCGAAGGACGGTGCTCTTTGATAGTGATAGTGTCCCCATCACTCTACTGTGGGCCGTTAGGACCCACACAGACCACAGAGTGAGCGCCCCCTGCTGGCCTCACTAACACCTCTTCCAGCAGCAACCTGGTTTTCTCAGGAGGTCTCCCATCCAGGTACTAACCAGGCTCAGCCCTGCTTAGCTTCAGTGGGCAACCAGTCTTGGGCTACAGGGTGATATGGCTGCTAGACATGAGCAATGGTTGAAGAATCAGTGTTCAGTGCTTTTTAAAAGCATCTTCGGATAGGTCTAATGTAAGCCCTGCACTAAAATCAGCACTGTTTCCTGCAGTGGTCACTTGTGTAAATGCATGTAAAGTTGACTAAATTAACTTCTTCAGGTGTGTTTGTTTAATGCCAGAGCTGAACTTTGCAGGACAGTGGCCCTCCAGGGTCAGATCTGAGGAACCCTGGAGTAAAGTGAGCAGCGCAAACATCAGAGGTGTTTAACATACCTTGTCCATGTCTTCTGGACTGGCCTGATAAGCCTTTGTGAGGTATTTCCTGAACTGCAGGAGGAAGTTGGTGCACCTGCCCTGCGTCTCCTCCATCCCGTTTCCCGCCTCCTCCGACAGCCTCTGATAGATCTGCCCATCAACACACATCCACAAACTCATCAGGTCAGGGTCATTTACAGACTGATAATAATCTCTTTACTTCTGATGCTGAACCGGTGTGAATGTCGTCCAGAGAAAGTGCGGTTACCTTAGCAAGATGCCAGTTAGACAAGGTGCTGTTGAGCTTCTCCAGCTTTGCGATGGCCTCGTCAGTGTTGCCCTCGATGTCAAGCAGTGTGGCAGAGCTTATGAAGGCCTCTTCCTCATATACTAGCACTTGAGAAGGCTGAAGACAAAGAGACCATTAGAGACAAACAACCATATAATACAGAAGCAGGAACAGAGTACATACCTGTATGTCTTTACTGTGAAAGTGCATGAACATCGGCTCCAGAGGTTCAGGAATACTGTGTTTGTTTCGGATTTTCTCAAGCAAGGGAAGCACAACTTTCCAGTAGTGCACACTGCGGCCTGCATAGTCCTTCACCCGTTCCCCCTGTCAAACACGTCGATGTCAAGACAAGCCTGCTCAGTCTGTACTAGTAATCTCACACTGACGAAGTCATCAACACTACGAACGAAGCATGGGAATCATGTGCTGATCAAACACATAAAAGCACTAATTCATTGTGCTCCTCATTCCCCTGATCGACTGTGTGAGCTGCTTCCTGATGTTTACAGACATACTATCTGAGAAACAATGTGCACTTTATTACTGACAATAACTGGCCTAATCAGAGGCATATTTACACATACATGACGTCAGTTAAGAACAGAGGCAGGTTAACAGAGGCTATCGTCTTCAGAAGAGTTCGTTTTTTTTTGGAGTGAATATGTGCATATGTTAAAATAAAATATTATTTGTGAATAGTTTCAATGGATTAACAAACAATACATTATTTAGCTGTTTTGTTACTTTTTCTTTATTCCTTTTAATCCTTTTAAATCCATTATTTCCTAAATGAAAACTTCTCGGTTGCGTATGTAACCCTCGTTCCCTAAGTACAGGGAGCGGAGACGTGTTGTCGGGGAGTTCCCTGACGAATTGGGATCACGCAAGGGAGCCTGATTACCTCTGATAGAATTAACAACGAGCCAATAACCCTTGGCATGCAATCTTTGCATTCCGCGAGCCGCCTACAAGCGCGAATATAAAAACGGAAGCAAACATTGCATAGACGCTTCTCACTGAGGAGCCGAATAGAGTCCAGCCCTCTGCGAAGGTACAACAACATGGCGAAGGGACGACACGTCTCCGTTCCCTGTACTCAGGAAACGAGGGTTACATACGTAACCGAGACGTTCCCTTTCATCCTGGGAACTCCAACGTGTCGTCGGGGAGTTCCCTGACGAATTGGGATCCCTAATAAAACGCCATGGTGCTGGCCCCTTCCAGCGCCCAGCGACGCTACCCACGCAGTTTCAGAAATAATGGTAGCTAGCTAGGAAGTCACACTGCTGTTCCGCAAGACCCAATCAGTGGAATTGGATAACACTGGGAAAGCGTGCCCAACCCGAAGAAGGGGAAGGGGAAGGGAACGCTGCGGAAGCCAGCCGCCTGATGATGGCCTGGAATACACATATGTACTAACCCAGGGGGATAGTGAAACATATGGCAGTCCCTGAGATAGTCCCAATCCAAGGGGAAATGGGGGCGTACACAACAGGGATGACAGAACGAGTCTGTCAAGGGGAAGACACGGCTGGCTGCACGTGGCATAATGGGTCACCGAAGAGACCACTGGACATAACACCGAGTCTACACAACAACTCCCTTAGAGGTAGTAGACCTGGCGGTCCGCCACGTCAGGCAACGGAGGGGTGATGGAGGAACTCCCGAGGCTAACCGACGTAGGGCACCAACGGAGCAGAAGATGCACGTATCCGGCTGAGGCACGGAGTGGCCTAGCAAGCCGATACAACCTATTCCCTCACACCACTTGCCGTAGCGAGTACTCGGGAGGAAACAGGTTCCACACGTAGGCTATAGAATCTAGCGTCTGTCTGTCAGCGAGGCACCTTGAGCCAAGCCCAGGAGGCGGCAACACCTCTCGTAGAGTGAGCACGCAACCTGGGAGGACAAGGCTCACCCGTAGCTTCATACTCTCGGGTGATAGCATCCACTAACCAGAGGGCTAACCTCTGTTTGGAGACAGCCTTCCCCTTCTGCTGGCCTCCGTAACAGACAAAGAGCTGGTCTGAGGACCTGAAGCTTTGCATTCTGTCAATGTAAACCTGCAGTGCGCGGACTGGACAGAGAAAAGCTAGGGCTGGGTCTGCCTCCTCCTGGGGCAGCGCTTGCAGGTTCACTACCTGGTCTGCGAAGGGAGTGGTAGGAACCTTGGGCACATGGATGCGAGGATGCGAACGCCTTGTTCTCTCATGGGAACAATGGCCGCCTCCACGACTTTCGTGAAGACGCGGGGTGACAGGGCCAGCCCGAAGGGTAGGACCTTGTACTGATACGCTCGACCCTCGAACGCAAACCGTAGGAATGGTCTGTGTCGAGGAAGAATTGAGACATGAAAGTATGCGTCCTTCAGGTCGATCGCTGCAAACCAATCCTGGGGAAGGATGCACTCGAAAATGCGCTTCTGCGTGAGCATCTTGAACAGGAGTTTGTGCAGGGCCCGATTCAAAACTCGCAGGTCCAGGATTGGCCGTAACCCACCGCCTTTCTTGGGTACAATGAAGTAGGGGGTGTAAAACCCGGACCTCATCTCGGCAGGAGGGACCGGCTCGATCGCGTCCTTCGACAGCAGGACATCGATCTCTTTCCGCAGGCCAGGGGCGCCCACTGACCGCACACGGGTGAAGTGAACGCCCCTGAACCTGGGAGGCCGGCGTGCAAACTGAATTGCATAGCCGAACCGAATGGTGCGGATGAGCCATCGGGATGGACCCGGAAGCGCTAGCCAGGCTTCCAGGCACCGACCCAACGAGCCCACCTGAACCACCGGCATACCCGCAGAGGGGCAGCGAGGTGGAAGGCAGGGACCCGGCTCCAGTGGCAATGTAGCCACTGGAAGCTGGGTCTGGGCGTAAAGTTCGCCAGGGACCTGCTTCCACCGGGGGGAAGATGGCAGACAGAGCCCGTGGGCTTCCTGCTGCGGGCCGCCCCGTGGCGAGGGGAGGGGAAGAGACGCAGCACGAGGCCCTGCCTCCTTGTGAGCTGGTCTCTGCCCCTCCGAGTCCAGTTGCTGACCAGAGCGACGCAACCGAGGAAGCGTCGCTGCTATCTGCAGACTGGGAAGAGGGGAACGAGAGCGACGCTGCTCGAAGACAGCATCCACTGCCGTTCGGATCCTCTTGGGTGGAGGAGACCGAGTGCCCGTCAGTCTCGACCGAAGATGACCTGGAGGAGGAAAAGGAAACCACTCTTTTATTGAAATTTTGGCGGTCAGTGGTGGAACAGAAACAAAACTGAACAAAAAATTCTCCGCCCGGCCCTCCCTCAGGGGAAGGAGGTGTGCAGAGGCACCCTCCTGAGCGGTCTCTCGTCGCTCCACCAGGTCCCCCGTCTCAGGAACGCTTCCCTCCCCTCCTTTTACGGAAGGGGGCCGGGGGCGCCTGAGCGGGTTGGGCCGCCCTCTTGTGACCAGACTTCCTCGCTCCAGGGTTGGTGGTCTGCGCTGGAGGAGGAGCTGGCGCTGAGGAGCGACCCCGGCGACAAGAAGCAGCCAGGGCTTGTACAGCCACAGGGGAAGGACTCGCAGCAGTCTGCCTCCTGTGCAGGACGTGCCGTATAGCCTCCGACTGATTCTGGGCGGTGGAGATCTCCTGGGCCAAGTTCTCCACCGTGTAGCCAAAGAGGCCGCCCTGGGATACGGGTAAGTTGAGAAGTTTGTTCTTCCCCGCTTCCCTCATATCTGCCAGGATCAGCCAAAGGTGGCGCTCCTGGACCACCAACGTGGACATCACCTGACCCAGCAAACGTGCGGTGACTTTAGTCGCTCGGAGAGCGAAGTCCATCGCCACACGCAGCTGCTGCAGCAGAACCAGGGCGGGACCCCCCGCCTGCACGTCATGAAGCGCCTTCACCTGGTGTACTTGCAAAAGAGCCATGGCGTGCAGGGCGGAGGCGGCGTCCCCACACGCACTGTAGGCATCCCTGGTCAGCCCAGAGGTAAACCTACAGGCGTGGGAGGGGAGTGAAGGGGCAGCCCGCCAGGAGGAGGCGGTCTTCGGACACAGCTGCATCGCGACAGACCACTCCACTGGGGGGATTCCCTCGTACCCATGTGCCGCCCCGCTATCCAGGGTGGTGAGGAAGGAGGAGCGAGGTTGCCTCTGTCTGAGCGCCAGAGGCGCAGACCAAGACTTCCTCAACTCCTCATGAACTTCGGGGAAAAAAGGGACTGGAGCAGGCCGTGGGGCAGCCGCACGACCCGCTCCGCGAACTCAATCGTCCAGCCGCGAAGGTTCGGGACCCGGTGGAGGGTTCCATGCAAGCCCGACATTCGCGGCTGCCCGTTCGAGCATGGCAGCCATTTCCGGGTCAGGCTCCACCGACGCCACCATGCCCGAAGGGGGCAGCGCTGCAGAGTCTTCACCAGAAGACTGCTCTTCCTCCGATGCCGCGATCGACATCTGATCCTCAGGTGGCGCACCGAAAGAGACAACCAGAACCGCCTAGGGGGCTCCGGCCGCTCCACCGGAAGCGCAGATGGCAGTGTGCTGCTAGAGGCGTGAGACGCCCGACATGATCTTTCACCTGTCGCGTTTCTCACAGTAATCCTCATACGCTCACCAACATGAATCACTGAAGTAGCCATCTGCTGAACTGAACCAGCAGACGAACTAGATCGGAGATTCTCTGAAGGGACTCCCCCATGTCTCAGGGATCTCAGTCTCGAACATATCATCGCGAGAGTCATATTCCCGCAATGAGAGCATGACTCATCCACAAGCGCCGCCTCAGCGTGTGCTAAGCCCAGACACGTGAAGCAGTGCTTGTGGCTATCAGCCTGAGGGAGAAATCGACCGCATCCAGAAACGCACGGGCGATTTCGACATCCTGAAAAGGACGCGAATACACTGTGGAGCTCTTTCAGTAAAAGAAAACAAAAAAGAAACTCCTCTTCAGTGCCGAAGCGCCGAGGGATCACAGGAAACACCGCAGGAAACTGCAACCGCGTGCTGCACTCGAGACGAAGACCACCGAAGTACCATCACACCAGCACCCCGAACGTTTTTTCACCAGGCTCGTCTTCTTCAGAACAGCAGGTAAGCTCTGAGAGGCTCCGAAGCGATATATCCGCGCTTGTAGGCGGCTCGCGGAATGCAAAGATTGCATGCCAATGGTTATTGGCTCGTTGTTAATTCTATCAGAGGTAATCAGGCTCCCTTTCGTGATCCCAATTCGTCAGGGAACTCCCCGACGACACGTTGGAGTTCCCAGGACAAAAGGGAACAACGGTTATCCCCCTAAAACCCTCATCAGCCCGGAGCGGCCCATAAATTCCTGGCTCAGAACGAGCATCACTAGAACGGCTGCGAGCAGACGTACCACATAAGTGAGATGCTGAGCCCAGTGGATGAGCAGCGCCGGCTGAAGGCCGTGTTTCTCTCCGGCGCGAATCGTGCCGAGACCGCGCTGAACCAGCATCCGCAGTTTAGCCAACGTCCCAGGCCTGTCCAGAAAACACTGCAGTCAGACACAGAGCCGTGCGTCAGGCTCACACTCACAGCAGGGTAGTTACTCACAGCGCTCTCTTGTGGATCAGACGGTAGACGGCGTCCCACCACTCGCGCTGCTTGGCGGAGGACAGGAGCCTGATGATGTGCAGAGGCAAACACCGGGGCTGATGCGGTGAGGAGCACGAGGACATCCGTGCCGTCTCCTGCAGCTGCGTCTGACTGCTGAACACAACGCCGCACAAGAACACCTGCAACACACCACATATACACAGCGGATCTGATGAAGCACCGAGCCGTAACTCTGAGATCGACCCACTTCCACAGTCTAAAGATGCATGTTAGGGAGATATTTACAGCATTATACAAATCACAGGCATTAATTACTGCATTATCAAAAGTAGAATTTTGAAAGGCTTTATCAGTTATAAATGAATACCTACATTATGCAACAACAAATACAAAAAGACTGTGCATGTTTCATAAAAGCCAAATGTAGGTGAATGTTTCCCCTATGCCTCATTGAGGATGAGAAGAGGGGTGGACGCACCTCCAGGTCGAGCAGGCAGATGGACTCGGGTGAGTTGGTGTCTAGTTTGGAGGTCTCGAGCGTGAGGCGAGGGAAGAGCTGCTTGAGCCAGCGCTGCAGGCTGACACTCTGCTCCATCAGCGCCCACTGCAGGCCGAGCCACGCCAGGTGCTGAAGATCGCCCGCGTGCAACAGCACCGCACCTGCGTGAACACACACACCCCGCTGTCAGCACTAGCGCTGTAACAGATCGCAGTTCTGTATGCCCCACTCATATGACCAGTGGATTATTGCAAAGTTTAACCATCATTGAACAAAAGTTGATCATTTGCGTGTGTTTGTAAATTTAAACATTCATGTGCAAGGAGACGCGAAAGACAACTCGAGTATCCTCAACTACAGTCGCTTTTAACTGACTAAGTAGAGAAAGAAATTTGGATGTGTGTCATTGTATTGAATCCGTGCATTCTGTCTTAAAGGTTTAGTTCACCAAAAAAAATAATAATAATAATTTGTTCTTGCTGAAGCTTAAACGTGCTTCATAACACGAGAATGAACCCCATTGGTTCTTGATAAAGCTCAAACGTGCTGCGTAACTCCAGAGAATGAACCTCATGTTTCTCAAGGAAGCACAAGACATTTCCATGGCGTACATTTCATGATAAATTTGATGGGTTGTGGAAGTGGCTTTGTGGATGCTAGGCGAACCCACTATGGCATAATAGACGAACCCACTATGGCAAACCCATTCGAATAATGGGGGCATGGGATTTTTATAGATAACTTCCAGGGGCCCCAAATTTGGCATGGTGGTCCATGGGGGCCCCCTTAGCAATTTACCGGAAGCTCTGGACTCTAGAGCAAAGGTAAAACATTTTCAGCAATAATCCTACTCTCTCCCTCAGCCGTCGCTATTTTGACCTTTCAACCTCTGAACAAGGTCGTGGGGCACCAAATTTTCCCACCCCCAGGGGCCTCGACGACCCGATCCCTGGACACGGAAACTAGCCCTAGGGACGTGGAACATCACCTCGCTGGCGGGGAAGGAGCCTGAGATTGCGCGTGAGGTTGAGAAGTTCCGACTAGAGATAGTCGGGATCACCTCTATCCATGGCTTGGGCTCTGGAACCACACTCCTTGAGAGAGGATGGACTCTCCACCACTCTGGAGCTGCCCATGGTAAGAGGTGACGGGCTGGTGTGGGTTTGCCTATAGCCCCCCAGCTCAGCCGCCATGTGTTGGAGTTTACCCCGGTGAACAAGAGGGTCGTTTCCCTGCACCTACAGGTTGGGATAGGTCTCTCACTGTCGTGTGAGCCTACGGGAGGAGTTTGGAGGTATTCTCCAGTTTTGGAGGCCTACGGCAGTGCAGAATACCCGGCCTTCTTTGGGTCTCTGGGAGGGGTGCTGGAAAGTGCTCTGACTGGGGACTTCGTCACTCTACTGGGGGACTTCAACGCTCACGTGGGCAAAGACAGTGACACCTGGAGGGGCGTGATTGGGAGGAACGGCCCCCCGACCTGAACCCGAGTGGCGTTCAGTTATTGGACTTCTGTGCTAGTTACAGTTTGTACACAACGAACACCATGTTCAAGCATGGCACATGGCACCAGGACACCCTAGGTCGATGATCGACTTTGTGGTCGTTTCATCTGACCTGCGCCCGTATGTCTTGGACACTCGGGTGAAGAGAGGGGCGGAGCTGTCAACTGACCACCACCTGGTGGTAATTTGGATCCGATTGTGGGGGAGGAAGCTGGACAGACTCGGCAGACCCAAGCTTACTGTAAGGGTTTGCTGGGAACATTTGGTCTTCTGTCAGAGAGATCTTTAACTTCCACCTCCGGTGGAGCCACGACTGGATCCCAAGGACTGAGAGACGGACGGTGGAAGGAATACTTCGAGGATCTCCTCAATCCCACTGTCACATCTTCTTTTGAGGAAGAAGAGGCTGAGGGCTCAGAGGTAGACTCGTCCATCACCCTAGCTGAGGTCACTGAGGTAGTCAATAAACTCCTCTGGATGCTGTGGGGCTGTCTTGGCTGACACGCCTCTGCAGCATTGGGGACAGTGGCCCTCATTTATCATTCTTGCGTATAAACGGCCGTATATGTTGGCTTAAGATTATGCTTACACTCCTTTCACCGCCTGATTTATGAAGCTGTGCGTACCTTTGAAATCCAGGTGTACACGCCTTCCCTTGATAAATCCCGCGGCCGAAAACGACCGTCATTAGAATAACACGCCCCCAAATATTCAAGTCTCCACTTCCCCCACGCCCTCATTTTATGCCATGGACACACGGAAGACGGCAAAGAAGAGAAACTTCTCCGACGTGGAGCCGAAATGACCCATCACAATGCATTATTTTACAGCACGTCTTTTGAATCAGCATTCAGTTTCGAATCACGTCACATGTATAGTGATGATGATGATGTGATGTGAAGTACCATTCATTCACATTAATAATTGCATGACAATTTGTAATATTCTTCTTCTTACTATTATTATTATTACGATTTGTATTAATGACGCTTATTGTTATTCTGAAGAATGATGCCATTATTATTATTTGTATTATTATTATCATTTAAAAGAAGAAGAATGTATTTTTATTATTTTGTCAGTCTGAATTATTTTTTGGTCACTGAAAGCCTTTCATTACCGAACCCAGTCCGTGCGCACCTGCCGGGGATAATCCTGAAACGTCAGGGTAAAGCACACAGGCTCGCAACTAAAGGAATAGGCCTACATATGCTTACAAATCAAATGCTTTGGTAAAGTCACACAAATTAAACATTTAAGTCCACATTGCACAGAAATAAACACTGAAGTTTATAATTACTATGTTGTTTTTTGTTTGTTTGTTTTTTGGGTCATAATATATGATATATTTTAGTTTGTCAGTGCGTTATGTGGTGTTAGGAATTTTTCTGCGCATTTCCGCACTAACTCAAAACGTGCGTACACCACCTCCTGAGCTGGTGTAGGATTTGAGCGTGGCGTACGCCAACGTCCATATTGATAAATCTCAAAGTCACCGTGGTTTTGGGTGTACGCAAGGTGTGCGCTGGAAATTTGGTGTATGCACTTTTGATAAATGAGGGCCAGTGCCTCTGGGATGGTAGCCCGGGCTGGTGGTTCCTCTTTTTAAGAAGGGGGACCGGAGGATGTGTTCCAACTACAGGGGGATCACACTTCTCAGCCTCCCTGGGAAAGTCTATGCCAGGGTACTGGAGAGGAGAATACGGTCGATAGTGGAACCTCGGATTCAGGAGAGGTTTTCAGTGTGATTTTCGTCCAGGCCGTTGAACACTGGACCAGCTCTATACCCTCTACAGGGTGCTGGAGGGTTCATGGGAGTTTGCCCAACCAAACCACATGTGCTTTGTAGATTTGGAGAAGGCATTCGACTGTGTCCCTCATGGCGGCCTGTGGAGGGTGCTCCGGGATTATGGTCCGGTCCCTGTATGACCACAGCAGGAGCTTGGTTAACATTGCCGGTAGTAAGTCAGACTTCTTCCTGGTGCATATTGGACTCCGGCAGGGCTGCGCTTTGTCGCTGGTTTGGTTCATAATTTTTATGGACAGAATTTCTAGGTGCATCCAGGGGCCGGAGGGTGTCAGGTTTGGGGACCACATGATTTCGTCTCTGCTCTTTGCGGATGATGTTGTCGTGTTGGCCCCTTCAGACCAGGACCTTCAGCATGCACTGGGATGGTTTGCAGCTGAATGTGAGGCGGCTGGGAAGAAAATCAGCACCTCCAAACCCGAGGCCATGGACGTTAGTCAGAAAAGGGTGGCTTGCCCACATGTAAGTTTAAGTATCTTGGGGTTTTGTTCATGAGTGAGGGAAGGATGGAATGGAAGATTGACAGACAGACCAATGCAGCTTCTGCAGTAACGCGGTCGATGTAAAAGTCTGTTGTGGTGAAGAAGGAGCTGAACAAAGATGGAAATGATGTGCACCTGTGTAGGATTAGCGAGTGATATGCACATGTATGAAAGCTTAGGCTTTGAGAATGTTGAGAGAGCTTTCGAGATCTTAAGACCTGCAAGACTCTTGTGAGAGTTGAAGCTCCCGTACCTTTTTGTGTTGGGTTTGTTTTGTTTTCCTTTGCTATGATATTTTTCTATTTAGTTAATAAAGGCACTTACAACCAGACCAACTTCACTACGTCCTCCACTCATTTGTCACGGCTTTGAGCCGGTCGTGACACATGAAGAAGCTTTCTCACCAATGCTGTCTTGTGTTTTTTACCCTGATTTGAGGAACCTGAGGTTCCTTAACTCAAACAGGGTTCAACGTGCAGGCTTGAGGAGGCAGCTCAACTACAGCTAGGACATTTACCAAAAATGAGATGAATTGCCTTCGTTTTGCCAACAACAACCTTGTCATCTATTTTTCATTTCACAAGCTACAGTTTGTTCAAATTACAGACAGCCAACTCGGTTTCAGGCAGATGCGGCCTCATCAACATTGCACTTGTGTACTGTTTCATCTTGCTCCTATAACTCTTAGGACTGAGCTCTTGGTAGCTAAAAACACTACTATAAAAGTCTGACCTATTTTGATGTTTCTCTTGCAACTGAATGGCTATGTATGTTGTATGTTTCCTGACTGTATGGTGATTTGTGGTGTAATACACATGGCTCATTGAAAGGTGAATGTCTCTGGTCCCTTAACTCTTTATGCAGGATCAAAAGTTTTATTTTAAAAGCAGTTGTTACAACGTGTCCAATGGCAATTTATTTGAAAGGGCTTTTGACCTTGTGCTTTTGGCTTTTGTCCACAAACGTGCTGTGCAATATTTGGAACGAAATATGGGTGAGTAAATGATGACAATTAAGATCTTTGGGTGAACTAACCCTTTAAAGTAAGAGCAGCCTATAAATACATGCTGCTGTCTATGTCAATGTTAATCAAACAACAATGTTTATCTCCCCCCTTTTTTTGCTGATCTAGACCGGACTGGATCAAGAGTGCGTGACACTCACCGCTGTCCCACTTGGCCAGATGTTTGGCTCTGGGCGCGTGTGCGCTGACCATGTGCATCTTGTCGTTGCAGATGAAGGAGAGCTGGTCGTGCTCCTTTGAGCCGAAGAGCATGTCGAACAGAAGACTCGGCCCGTTCCGGTTCCCGAACGCCTCCACCACCTCCTTCAGCAGCTGCTCCACGTCCCGGCTCAGATTCAACAGCATGTGACCCGCCTGACTCTGGCGGTCCGAGGCCAGCAGCTCCAAAGGCTCATAGGATAGCTTCTCACCATTCAACCTCTTGACTTTGGGTCTCGGAGCCTGAGGAAATCATGGATATTTCACCATACAGTGGGCGATCACAGGAGCTGCATGAAGCAGAGGAAGCACACATCATACCTGATAGGCCACGAGGTAACAGACAGCCGCAAAATCCCGTACGGCCCTCCACTCCCGCGCCCTGTCCTGCGCCGTCTTCAGAAGCAGCGTCCCGGCGTACAGGTACAGCTGAGCCCTCGTCTCCGTGAACACCTCCGACAGCTCGTCCAGAGTCTTCGTGGCCGTGTCCTTCAGAGACTGCATCAAACGGTCCAAGCTGGACAAAAACATGGAGTGAACATTTCATGAATGCGCGAGTCGAACAATGCAGTCAGCCAAACCCAGACTCGTTCATCGGCTTGCCCGACAGACACGCGAATGGTCACTGAATGGCTTTTCTGAGGTAAATGGGGTGTTACGTGACATTGCTCTCAAGTTGTTTTATTGACGTCTTTCCGTGGTTGAAACACTGATTGAGCGACTGCATGAGACATGATTGATTTCAGTAAGTTGTTCCTTCTGATGTTCATTAGCTGCTGTAACTAGTAGTTAGAGAAAGAGATGATCGGTTCTATAGCGATCCTTCACCACACATTAAAGGGATTATAAGATTATACGTTGAGTTTGTGAAGTCTTGGCGCATGTGTGTGCAGTGTTGTGATTGTGGCGTACCTCCAGAGAGCATCAGCGCTCTCCTCGCAGCTCTTCTCCTTCAGCGTCAGTCGGACGCGGCTGCAGAGCGCCAGCAGCAGCTCCTTGTGAAACTTGCGCGACACCTGCTCGTTCGACACCACGCGCGGCTGGCGGAGATACTCCTGAAACACAGAAGACTGATCACTCTCTCTCGATATCATCAACTTCTCCTGATTGGTTCAAACCTTTCAACGTCACATCAAAACAGACAGAACACTAAATACAGCACCAATTGAAAAGAACTCGCTGCTTCAAATATAGATTGTACCAAAAAAAAGAATATGTGTGTTTTAAAAGATGAAGAATAGTACTATGGATCAAATGAATGAAGAGTTTTGGGTAAACTCACAAAAAGCAACATATAAGAGTCAGCTTGTGTAATATAAGAGGAGATGAGGTGATCACTGACCTGAAGGGTCTTGACCAGAAGCTCGTACCACTCCAGCTGGCCCCTCAGAAGGCCGGTCTTCTCCACCTCCAGACAGTGCTTCACCGCCTCCTCGAGCCGGCCGTCCTCGCTGTACAGACGCACCAGCCGGCCATTGATGTAGATGTCGTCGGGTCGCAGCTTGAGCTCAGACTGAAGCAGCTCGTACAGCTGGACGGAGCCGTTCTGTCCTCGTGAGCTCAGAAGCTTCTCCTGCATCAGAGAGAGAGAGGGTGAACTCAGAGGACAGATGGGGTGGGATGTGGACGGGATGGGAAGTGCACACTGACCCTCAGGTTGAAGACGTTGGGATGTCCCGGCAGCAGTTTGGCAGCTTTCTCCACCCAGAACTCGGCCCGGTTGTCAGGCTCCGGTTTCCCGCACAGCAGCTCCGCCAGCTTCAGAACCAGGTCTGACTGAGCCGGATTCAGATCCACTGAACGCTGGAGTTCAGAAACAAACATCAGCTTTACATGCTTAAACTTTTAAAGTGCATTAGAACAACGTTGGAAACAAAGGGCAGAATAATCCTGATGTGCTTCACCCGGACTAACTGTGTTATAACTGAATGCGAGGAGAGACGATCTCTCGAGATAACCCAACACGGGTTACTGTAACACAGGTCTCATAGTTTCTGGTTCAGGTGTTTTGTAAGCGCTTCAACATAGAGCCATTTCAAGATAGAGTTACTAAAGATGAACACAACACATGTTTATCATATATGCAGATTGATATAGATTTATATCTAAAGGTTTTTGTTTTTTTTCTATTATTCAGTTATTAAAATGTAATAAGAGCTTGAGCTGATGAACCAGGGCCGGTTTGGACTGGCAGCTCATGTACAGCTGGAGTTCACTGCATTCCCTCACTGTGAAGCCGCTCTGAGACGCTGGAAACACCGAATCATGAGCTGAACGCGTGTAAATGAACATAGTACTGCGCTTCACTCTGAAACATGCAGCAACACACTATATCACTGATTATCAACACACAGACTGCAGAGGCACCCGCGCCTTTAAACAAAAGGAAATCTTCTGTAAATCGAGGAAAAGGAAGCTTTAATGTAAAACGCATTTGCACAGCTAGCACATTGAGGTCTGGCTCATTCATAGGCTGAGCTGCAGCAACTGCACATCCAATGGACCTTTCTCACAATAACCGGAAATACATAATCGTTGTTGAAGCGGAGTTCCTGTCAACCGTCAACACATCAGAAAAACATACCCGAGAGTCCCAGAGTCTTCACAACTTAGAAAAAATTTAAACTTGTCATGGTCCAGTTGATGATGAACTTCATAATATACAAATCATAATACATAAAAAATAAACATAAACAATGGCGGGTTAGTAAATGGTGACATGAGAAGTACAAAAGATCACAGGATCAATATCATCCCGCCAGATAGCCTGAATCCATTTCCGTCGAACTTCATCAACAGGGAACTGACGAGGGAAGGAATGAAACGACAGATATGGCTGTTTTTGGGAATAACAAAAAAAGAACGGTACGAAACAACTGTTACTCGTTGCTTGAGCTATTTGTTCTGACCGGAGCAGAAGAAGATTACCACGACAATTGCGTATTTCCGGTCACAAATACGGAAGTTGTGAGAAAGGTCTATAGGTGACCAAAAAAAGGTCTATAAAAAGGTCTATGGCGCGGGTGCCTCTGACATGCGACCAATGAGCTAGCTTTACGTCATTATCAGAACCCGACAAGGGGGCGTGGCCTTACTCGAATACAAATACAAATACTTTTCCCCCCTCAACAAATACAAATACAGATACAAATACCAGCTGCTTTGCACACCCCTAATATATATATATTTTCAGCATTATTAGCGTTAAACTCTACAGCTGAAGTGTGTATTCAAAGACTATGCAGTAGGGAAATATGTCAGAGTAAATGAAGGGAATCCGAACCTTGTAACATCCCACAGCCTTGTCCGTTTCCCCGTCCTGTTCGAACAGCTGCCCGAGGAACCGGAGCGCTTTAGGATCCTTCGGCTGGACCGTCAAATACTCCGAAACATGCCTGTGATCCAATGGGGTGAGAGAAACACATCACTCCACAGAGAAACACACACACACACACCACTCCACAGAATAACACAAACACACACACACACACCACTCCACAGAATAACACACAGAAGACAGAGTAAAGGAGTTAGCCTACCTTTTAGCAAGCTCATATTCTTTAGCCTCGAAGTACAGTTTGGCGAACAGAAACCCTTTCACTGACTTCTGCAAGACACAAAACAGGTTAGGGTCACTATCAAACAATATCTGTGTAATTATGTATTTATGAATTGTAAAACATAACATATAATATTCAGCTTAAATCTTTAACACTGTAAACCCTAAAGCTGAAATTAAATAACCTTACAGAGCAGAGGAAACTGTTATAGTTTAATTAAATTTAAATGAATGAACCTCAATGAGTTTACAACAGAGTTCATGAGTTTTTGGAAAAGTTGCTGGAACTCATGGTTTAGTGCACTTAAAGGAGCATTTCACCCATTTCAACATTAATCTTTATTGAAAGTGGATCATATATGTAGTCGAAATGTAAAAGAATTTTAGAATTTTGTGCCCTCTTGACCGAGAAAAGGTAGAAAATAACTGAAGAGCACATTTGTATGTAAGATAACAACTCCCACAATGCACCACATTGCACATTGCCACACCCATTAATCCGGAACAGCACAAACAGAGAAATCACTCTTCCGTCTACAAGACTAATGTTAGCTGCCACCGGAGTTTGAAATTCATTTCACACAGAATGTCTAGTTAGTTGGCTGTGGCGAGCAGGACGAGGGGCGTGAGAGGCCGGTGGTGTGAGTGATAAGCGACGCAGCGGCCGGACTTCACCGACCGACCGAACGTGTTTAGTTTATTTTTGTGTCAAAATATTTCTCAAACGGTGCCCCCCCAATGACCCAATGCCCCTCCAGTAGATCTGCTCTGGCGCCAACTCTGGCTGACATACCAGTAATACAGTTAGATAAAATACTAGGGGTGTATATCGGATCCTTAATGAAGATTCGATACGATACCTATTTCTTAACCCAACGATTTTGATTATTTTCTATACTTCAGAATTTCCCGTGATTCGGTTCGATTCAATACTAGATGTCTTTACATGATGTCTATTAAGCTTCAAATAACAAACAACAACAAAAAAAGCCTTTTATTGAGAATCCAGAAGAAGCCTTTGTGGCGAGCAGGACGGGGCCGTCGTGAGAGAGCGACAGTATACTATTCATGTCTATAGCAGTCTTCTTTGCAAATGGCAACATCTCTTACCACTGCTCCATCTGTTTTCCGGAAGCCACAATACTTCCACACCCTTGACTCGACAGTGTAACATTTGTGCAAACGTGCTGCGTAACACGAGAATGAAGCTCATTGGTTCTTGCTGAATTCATTTCATGGATTCATGGATTCATTTTATGATCTCCTCATTAACTTTTCAGTTATTTAAAGTTTCAGTCATCTTGCGGTCAATAGAGGGATAGAAATCTCTCATATTTTATAAAAAAAATCATTGTGTTCTGAAGGTGAATGAAAGGGGTTTGGAACGACATGAAGGAGAGTAAATGGTGACAGAATTGCAATTTTTCGGTGTCTTGCTGGGTAATTTGTGTGTGTGTGTGTGTGTGTGTGTCTATTCATAACTCAGGAGATGACTTGATGGAAATCTGTATTAGATGTGTCCTTCTTATAAGAAATCATGTCTAAACTGGAGCTGGAGACCACAGATAACACCTGATTATGGTGAGAGGAGGAGAAACAGACACCTCTGGACTAAAGACAACTGGTCAGAACTCAACCCGAAAGAAGTCATATAACCATTTCAATAACTCTGAGGCCGTTCAGTTAAGCTAGAATCCCTATGCAGGGCGGGTTTATAGTGAAGCACCTGACGGTGGGCTTGGTGCTCCAGGTCCGAGGCTATATTAGCCCTGCCCGGCCCGCTAAAAGCCCTGCTCGCACTGGCCGACAGTGGAAAAGCCGCTATTGGTCGGGTCGGCACCGCTGCGGAGTGGCCCGGTCCAAACTCAGAGAAGCAGCTTCGGCTACAATGTTCTTCCACAAGACCAATGCAGTTCTGTTCATTAACCGCTAAAGAGACTGCAGCTTTAAAGTCCCTATTATCGGTCACATACACACACACACACTGATGATGAAACACGCAAATTAGGGATTCAGGATTCAGAAAGTTGTCTAAAATAAAAGAGGTCAATAGCGCATTACTTTTAAAAACAAAGTGTGGAGTGGAGGATGAACCAACGAGCCAACAGGGAAAAGAAAAGGCACTACTTCCAGCAGATTCACATTTACATTTATTCATTTAGCTGACGCTTTTATCCAGGTGTACAACATCAACATCAACATCAGCAGAGGGCTGCAACTTACACTTTTTAAATGACAATATCCTGGCTGGACTACTGTTGTCAGTGATAGAAGTATTTAAAATTAACACGATTTCTTAATGTCTAGTGACATATCAGAGTAAATATTGGGAGTTTGCATTCAGACGTTACACCTTTAGACAGCAGAGGAGTATTTGCCTGAAAGTCACACCCTTCTGTAGATATTTATAAACTCTTAAAAGAATGAGTTCAAATGGTGATGTATTGTGTTCTCTCAGAGAGTTGTCATCCCTTCCAGTTCTTCCAGTCTTACACACCGTATTGGTTAAAACGCACGCAATTAAAACGCAATCAAATTATTTCTCATCTCATGCACATAAACAAACAAATTCACACAGTTTCATTAACCTGAGAAAAATATGAGTTAGAATACGAGCTTTCTGTCTATATCATGAAATAAAGCAAAGCAAAGGAATCGGTTGTTTTGTAACTCAAAATGTGCATCATGTATTTCTAAATGTCGGGTTTAACTTGCATCTTTCATTGTATCATCATATATCATCAGATGAAATAACTTAATAAGTTAATACATGAAAAAAATAAATATGAATATTACATTGATATAATATTATAGGTTGTATTTCTAAACAGTTTGCATATTTTGGAAGAGAAATATGAAAGGTCAATATGGATTATTGAATTTTTAATAATGAAAATGTGTTTGAAATGTTTCAAATTGAAACGAATTCACGGCATATTCAACCATGTTGAACTTCAGCCAATAAAAATGCAAACCCTAAAATTAAAATGCATTAAAATGCAAACATGGTTCAAGCACTTTTTTCCCAAGTTGTGCAATTCAACAGGCTTTTTTGTTTCAAAAACATTTTTGATGGATGAACAGGTTTGATGGTTGTCATTTCGTCAAGTGTACGAATACATTATTGTCACGGGTTAGGTATCTATTCAGCAAACTGCAGGAAATGAAAGTGAAAGTCAGAAGTTAGGCTACTGATGTTCAATACAGTCATCATTAAGAGTAAAGAAACTAAATGATTTCATCAGTGCTGTTCTCCTTTCGGTCTTTAGTTTTTAATTAGCGGTTGATAAATAAATTCCAGCTCGTAGGCTATATGTTGCTTTCGGTGACGTGTACTCCATTAAATCTGCATAACCTAGCGCAGGAATTGAAGGTCGGATGTATATTTGCGGGGACACATTTATGTGACCATGTGTAAATCAAATAGTTTAGATCAATCAGATGTGATCAGTAACGCCTGAGGTGGACAGGTGTGTGTAAACAGAGCCTAACTGAGGCGTTTCTGACAACACATGCGAAGCTGAATGACTTTGAAACAAGGAACTACTCGAGGACAGTTCATACTATATAAATCACAATGAAGACATCGCCGTCTTATCACTGGCATCTTGACTCACCTCTGTGTGAGAGAGAGAGGAGCTGTGGACTCTAGAGATGTATCGCTCCACATCAGCTTTATTTCTCCTCATGACTGGGTCCAGCTCTCCTTCTCCGGCGCGGGTTTAGCTGAGATTCATTCAAACACGAGTTAGATGATCAATGTCTGCTCAACAACACACGATCACTAATGACATGGTGTGTGTAAAGTTCAAGTCCTCCTGCGAACACACCCCGACAGGTGTGTTCACATCACTTTCGTCGGAGTAAGATGGCGGAGTAGGCTACTTCCTCTCAATTAATTACACACAAATACGATCAGTTTCTTGAACTCTTGTTCTAGAAAATGAAGAAGAAAGAAATCTGCGTCAGGTGTAGGCTATTGTTTTTATGTTTTAGTTATTTTATGAAGCCACTGCCAACTTTATCGTTACATGTTGCATTGTTGCAGAAGGGTTAACTGTCAGAGAAGGGTTAACTGACCCAAACTGACCTCTGGGTGGTTTTCACAAACCAGAATGACCAAGTTAACCACTCAGGGAAGGGTTAACTGACCCAAACTGATCTGTGAAAGTTTCCACAAATCAGGTTCAATTTAAAACAAGTGTTTTTGTAATCCAGCAGTGTTTGTTTATTATAAATTGTTATTGTTTAAACATGAAAAACGCCTATTTCCCCCATTGCTGTCTACCGGACTTAGCGAACGTTTTACAGACAAGAGCTTTGCTGTGAAAAAATTCACAAATCGAGCGTGTCAAGATGACTCTGGTTTCAGACTCCTAAGTGACCGACTTTTGGAGCTATACCCAGTTTAAAAAAAAAAAAAAAAAAAAAAAAAAAAAAAAAAGGTTTTGGATCGGAGAAACACAGTTACACAAATTCACAAATCATGACATGAGATATTATTTGCATGCCCACGACACCGCACTGCGGGACCACAGCGAAACGAAAACTGAAAATCAAACCGCAAACTATCTTTACTCCGGTTTTTAACGACCATTTCTATGGTGCTGGTGAATCTACAACTGATTTCTCAATGGGAATAGTGAGAGGAAGGATAGCAGGAGGTGTGGCTATTCTTTGGCACAAAAAATTGGACTCAGTGATGAAAGTCACAAGGCTTGAAGTTGACTGCATAGCAGTACAGTTAAAAGTTAACAATAAAGAGTTTATTATCCTTAACATTTATACACCATACGAGTGTCAGCAGAATGAGGATGAATACTTGCATAGACTTGCTTTTATAAAGTATTTTAGTCATTATACAAAATAAACAAACAACATATTTCCTTAATAAAATACAATGAACATTTTCATATAAAAGAATGAACAAATAATTAAAAGTACAATTTTTTAAACAATTTTTTTTTTTTGAACATGAACACACTGGAAAACACAAAATATAGCCATTATAATTACTTATTTATTTTCTTACTCTTTTAACATACTCTGATAAATTATTCAAACTTGATTTTCTGGGTATCGATACAGATTCCTGAATGATTCAATTGATTCACAAGATCTGAATTCAATTCCATTTTCTATTTTCAATTCAATTAAATTCAATGTATTCAATAATTAAATGTTCACTGGCCCCGCCACAAAACAAGTAATAAATGAATAAAATAGTTAATGTTTTTGACTCGTGTATTCTTGATCTGTAAATAAGGTTAAAACACCCCACATTTCAGACACCAGTGAAATTGAACACTTCTCCATTCCAGTTTTGATTCCTCAGATGAAACTACTAACTAAAACACATTTTAAAGATTATTAAAGACAAGTGACCTTTCAGTACTAAAATAAGAACGAATAATTAAACTACAAGCAATACCACAACTAAATAAATACAACAGAACACATTAGTGAATGAGATAGGGGTTTTCAGGTGGGAGTAACAGTAGTTTGGGACTGGGATATCCGTCCGGCAGTGGCACTGAATGACTCTTCACAGTGATGATCCAGTGACGCTTGGCCTATTGTAGGCGCTTGACTTTTACATTTCCTTACACCAACATTGTTTTGTTGCCATGTTGTGATTATATGAGTAGCGTCTGATGGTGGATGTGGAAAATGTCCAACCTCACGACTGAACTAACGTCTGCAGTTCTCCAGATGAAACGTGATCAGATCAATCAGATTTCATCAAAAATATCTTCATCCGTGTTCTGAAGATGAACGAAGGTCTTACGGGTCAGGAACGACATGAGGGAGAGTGATGAGAGAATTTAAACTTTTGGGTGAACTAACCCTTTAGTCAATGCATTTATGGTCATTTCATGTAGGTCATCCCCAAGAAGAAGAGAGAAAAAGGAGTGACACAAAACATAATTTCCTCCATGAACAGAAGTTTCCCAAACGTTCAGAGCTGTCCACAGTCTGAGATGGTGATGGCTTTAGTGGGTTTGCCGTCCTTCCCGCCCAGCTCTCCTATTCTCTTCACCACATCCATGCCTTCTTTGACGAAGCCGAAAGCCACGTGCTTGAAGTCCAGGTGTTCTGCTTTCTTGAGGGTGATGAAGAACTGCGAGCTGTTGGTGTCTCTGCCGCGGTTGGCCATGGACAGCAGTCCCGGGCCCGTGTGCCTCACGTCGAAGTTCTCGTCCTCAAACTTCCCTCCGTAGATGGACCGTCCTCCTGTCCAACCTCAAACATTTTTAAGAAAAGGAAAACATTTTAAAGGAAATTCATTTAAAATGTGTGATTTAGATTGAAAGACCTGCTGAAGCGCTGAATGAAAGTGTAACTCCCCTCTCTGACAGTAGATGGCGCTTATGGAACAGCAGAAATACAGCGGTTACGTCGGTACGCTATGTAGCGCCGCGCTTCTTGACACGATTATACAGAGCTAAGATGGAAAAATGCCATCCAAACTTTTCTGATTACAATCATATGACTGTGAAAGTCTGGGCTTGTAGAACGCGCAACAGCGTCACGTTTTTACTGTGAAACTCATTTCATTAAATTTATTACGCAATAACATTAAAAGAATTTTGCGATTCCTGTTTTATCGGTCCCCAAATGTAAGACCTCTTGAAATTATAGTTTAGACTTTTCTTATACCATTTTAGATATTTAGAAATTATGGCCTTAAAGTCTTTTTATGGATGTTCGACCTGTTAACAAGCAGGGAGCTTTAGCTATACATCATTAGAAAGGTCTATGGTTTTATTTTAAACTATTATGATAAAAATCTGTAATGATAATTTCTTATGTTTCTGTCAAGAAATCTTAGGCTTTTTTTACCTAGAATACTGTGAGCGTTAGAGAGCACACACACACACATGTAACGTGAAATCTGTGTCATTCACACTCGTAGCCGGATGGACCCTCCTGCTGAAAGCCCAATAAATCTAATAAAATATCTGGGCAAAGTCATCCAGCGATCGCCGTAGCAGAATAAAACACAGATAGAGATCTACCGACTGACGAAACATGAAAACAAGCTGGAGTGTGACAATATACAGTATAGTTCATCTGTGTTTAAGCCATCTCGGGTATTTTAAAGTATGTTTATAATCGTTATAGCCTTTAGAGTACAAGAATATAACATAATTCTGCCTCAGTCTAAGACATGAAGTCCCGTTAGACCAGTTATTTCAAACACTCGACTGACGTTATGAAGTGAAGCGGGTCATTCAGTGTTCTCATTGGTTGGTCAACAGGTTTGTAAAGAGAGATGCAGGTTCTGAGTGACTCAAACTCTCAGCATCTACTGCAAACTGACCCATCCACTGATCTCAGAGCTGCGCTTCATCATGAAACACTGAACATATAAAACTGATTTTATAATTGCACTTATCGTGCGGCCCTTGATTAACCTCACACACACACACACTCACCTCTGGCAAGGACACGATCAGCTCAAAGTGGATCTCGGGGAGATTCGTCATCACTGCCCTCTTCTCCTTCATCGTGTGCTTCTCCTCCTTCAGTTCGCACGGGTGCATTAACAAAGACCGTGGCCCCGGCGTTTGACCAAGAAAAATTAGCATCTACAGAAATAAACATGCATGTGAAAACAATAAAAACATTACACTGACCACAGCAATACTGACAGCAGCAGTGAACAAACACATGAATGACTTATAAAAACACAAAATGCTTTTAGTGTCCGGCACAATTGCATACTAGGACTAGGATGACAATCAGAAAATACAGCCTTTGGTGAAATCCATTATAATTAAAGGGGGGGTTGACTGCTTTTTTTCTTCGCATGATTGTATTTATGGGGTGCAATATAACATGTATTTGTGGTTTTTCTTTTTTTAAAAGTCTTATTTTTCATAAACTTCACCTTTATTGCGCTCTCCTCTGTCCCCTGAATGAGCGGTTGACTTCCTGAGTCTATGAAACCCCTCCCTCAGAAACACGTAGTGGGCTCTGATTGGTTAGTTTGGCCCGGTGTGTTGTGATTGGCCAAACTGTCGCTCACGTTGTCCGGAAGGTTAACGCCCATTACCTTTACGGGTGAAACGGGCATAGACCAACGCCACTTTTGCGTCATCGAAGGGTAACGCCCCCTTTTGGGGGAAAACACCTCTATACTGTCAATGGGAAAACAAACGGATTCCCATGAGAACAGAACTCGCACTAGATCTGCAACGTTTCTTGATAGCAAAAATGGCACAAACTTAAAGAAGCTAACGTTACTGAATACGGGGTTACAGAGGTTTCCCTTTGAAATGGTCGAAAACTGGATTAATGACCCCACACAGCGGCCAAATATGGACTATTCAGACATCTAACGTTACCACTATCTCGTGGAATCACCAAGTAAGTAGCCTTTTTTATTTATTTATCATTTACACACTCACAGTAGCCTATTACAAACTACTAGACGATGAGGCCATGTCACTTGGATCATATTTAACTTGATTTAAGCTATTGACAGTTTTGTTGTCGACTAGCTATTAGAAAGACTAGCTGTTAGCAGCTAACGTTACCTTATTAGACTATGTCAATAGCTTAAATCAAGTTAAATATGATCCATTCATCGTCTAGTTTGTCATACTGTGAGTGTTAATGAAAAAAAAGGCTACTTACTTGGTGATTCCACGAGATAGTGGTAACGTTAGATGTCTGAATAGTCCATATTTGGCCGCTGTGTGGGGTCATTAATCCAGTTTTCGACCATTTCAAAGGGACACCTCTGTAACCCCGTATTCAGTAACGTTAGCTTCTATAAGTTTGTGCCATTTTTGCTATCAAGAAACTTTGCAGATCTAGTGCGAGTTCTGTTCTCATGGGAATCCGTTTGTTTTCCCATAGACAGTATAGAGGTGTTTTCCCCCAAAAGGGGGCGTTACCCTTCGATGACGCAAAAGTAGCGTTGGTCTATGCCAAAGGTGGATACCATAGACGGTGGATACACGTAAATAATGATGTCGAGACTGCAGTATCAGTGAGGCAGAATCAGACTGAGAAAGCGGCGATGAAGAGAGTCAAGCAGAACCTCACCACACACGGCTCTTAATAAACGTTTCTGAATGATAATTTGCTACATTTTTTAACCATATACACGTTTGTTTTACACAATAGCATCTGACTGGCAACGATAGCAACTGACTAGCTACTAATGTTAAACACAAACAGCGTTGGCAAGTTTACGTTCTTGATCATATCGAAAATAACGTCATAAAGCATATGAAAAATACATTTACAATATTAGTACTAGTACAAGTACAAAATTCAGGTCCATAATGTTTGTACGTGTTTGTCGTAGACACAAAATACTAGCATAACTAGTAGCCTATAGTGGCTATAAAGCCAGCGCTGGTATTTGAAAAAAATAAAACAAAAAAAAACACAAGGCTACGTCTGGAATTATACATGCAAATACATTTAAAATGATGAAGTCTTAGCCTACTTACAGATTGTGGCCCAACAACTGTTGCTGTAAAATGCGCAGCACCAAGAGCTAGATTACGATCGTCATTTTCAGGAACATAATCAAACATAAATTATATCCATTGTTGAGGAAGTATAGCATCCATGGGAAGCCCGAAACACAGAGGACCTGACAGCTGGTGAACAACACACTCGACGAGCTGGAGCTGCAGAAATATGTGTCCTTTTGTCCTATGTCCTTTTCTGCATATTCCAGAGGGAGGGTTGATGTAAATGTGTGGGTTAGTGACGTACCATAACCCAGCTGTAGTCCCAATCGAGTCGTTTTTGTAGGCAATATACTTCCTGATTTTTAAAAGACGATATCTCTGCTTACATTGAACTTTCAGCGCTGCACCTTTGCAGATACTGTTCATGCACCAACAGCAACATTACACACTATTTAAACTGAAAAGTCAAATCGCAATTAACCCCCCCCCCTTTAAACGCAAAAATGACTCAATACCAGTATCGTATTGGCCCGCTCATGTACTCGCACTCTACAATGCTTGGATACATAAAGCCGATACCTCGCAGAGTGTGTACAGTGTTTGTGTCAAGACAAAGAAACACTGACAACAGAGCAAACAGACAATATAATGGAAATATCAGACAACGATGTTATTGGCCAAGCCATAAACAAAACACTCACCTTTTTTGCCAAAAGCAAATTCTCCTGCAGTCTTTTGCAATTCTGCAAATGAAAACGCACTCTCAGATGTGAATGCAAAAGGAAGACCTGCTGGAGAAGAGCAAAGACGTCAGACGATACCAAAGGCAAACGCTGGTCGAGTTTGACTGAATGTCCCTGTCCTTCACTCTCTGACCTCGGCTGGACTTCATTCACATGTCATTCTAATAATAAATGTTCCTTATATTTGGATTCAAACACTTAACTTACATTTCCCTGAACCAAAGTAGTTACTGTTTTTCATTGTCTTATCGTCGTGTCAGTGTGTTTTCATTCAGTGAGATCTGCTCTCTCGTTATAATCAATGAAAGACGAATCTCTTATTCATATCGTGTTTGCTCTGTGTGTTATGATGACAGCATTCGTGAGAGTTCAGCAGACATCACTGTGATTGGCTGTCTTTTATGCAACATGAGAAGATGTAAATCTAATGCTGTAGTCAACACCTTTCACCACAGATAATCTCTGCAGCTGTACGAGTAGAAATGTAGTTTTCAGAACATGTAGAACTCATTTCATATGCAAAGGTGTCAGCCAATCACAGGCGTGTCTCCTTTCAGTTATCAGTGTTTAGATCACAAGGCTAAAATCTGGAGATGTCTCAATCCTTCTTATATAATCCTTCATTATAAATGCAGGTCATAACTCTAATACGGCAGGTGAACGCCCTCTGCTGTTCTGCTCTTACAGTACTAGAGGTTAAACTGGAGTGTGTCCAGGGCAGCGCTGCTGTAGAAGTGAGGAGGACACGTGTACCTGCAGTGAAGCTGGACTCGCTCTCGCTGCTCCTCTTCGTGGAGAGGTCAATGGGGTCAACGCTGCCGTCCACGGGAGGCTCTTCCGCTGCTGCATCATGGGAAGGCTCCGGCTTCACCTGTGTGTCCAGAACAAGACACGAGTCAAACCGGTGCTGCTAATCACGTCTCATGTCAGTGTTCAGAAAGTCCTCTGACCTGAGCGTGCTGCAGTGTGTGTAGCTCTGCGCTGAAGTCGTCGGGTCGCTCGGAGTCGGAGTCGCTGCTTATGCTGCAGTCTGCAAACACACACTCTCCATCACTCTCCGACTTTGAGGATATCCATTATTATTAAATGCAAAAATGACTCAATACCAGTATCGTATTGGACCGCACGTGTACACTACAATGCTTCGATACATAAAGCCGATATCTCGCAGAGTGTGCACAGTGTTTGTGCCAAGACAAAGAAACACTGACAACAGAGCAAACAGACAATATATAATGGAGATATCAGACAAAGATGTCTATAAGGTAAAAGTATCTATTTAGTAGAATATTAAACAAATTAAAATATGCCAACATAGCTGCTGTGTGTGAGCTGATAAGTGAATGAGACACTGGACTGAGACACTGGGATGAGACACTGGGCTGAGACACTGGGCTGAGACACTGGGCTGAGACACTGGGCTGAGACACTGGGGATGAGACACTGGACTGAGGCACTGGGCTGAGACACTGGGCTGAGACACTGGACTGAGACACTGGACTGAGACACTGGGGCTGAGACACTGGGGATGAGACACTGGACTGAGGCACTGGACTGAGACACTGGACTGAGACACAGGACTGAGACACTGGGGCTGAGACACAGGACTGAGACACTGGGCTGAGACACAGGACTGAGACACTGGGGCTGAGACACAGGACTGAGACACTGGACTGAGACACTGGACTGAGGCACTGGGCTGAGACACTGGGGCTGAGACACAGGACTGAGACACTGGGCTGAGACACAGGACTGAGACACTGGGGCTGAGACACTGGGGATGAGACACTGGGCTGAGACACTGGACTGAGGCACTGGGCTGAGACACTGGACTGAGACACTGGGGCTGAGACACAGGACTGAGACACTGGACTGAGACACTGGACTGAGGCACTGGGCTGAGACACTGGGCTGAGACACAGGACTGAGACACTGGGCTGAGACACAGGACTGAGACACTGGGGCTGAGACACTGGGGATGAGACACTGGACTGAGGCACTGGGCTGAGACACTGGGCTGAGACACTGGACTGAGACACTGGACTGAGACACTGGGGCTGAGACACTGGGGATGAGACACTGGACTGAGGCACTGGACTGAGACACTGGACTGAGACACAGGACTGAGACACTGGGGCTGAGACACAGGACTGAGACACTGGGCTGAGACACAGGACTGAGACACTGGGGCTGAGACACAGGACTGAGACACTGGACTGAGACACTGGACTGAGACACTGGACTGAGGCACTGGGCTGAGACACTGGGGCTGAGACACAGGACTGAGACACTGGGCTGAGACACAGGACTGAGACACTGGGGCTGAGACACTGGGGATGAGACACTGGGCTGAGACACTGGACTGAGGCACTGGGCTGAGACACTGGACTGAGACACTGGGGCTGAGACACTGGGCTGAGACACTGGGCTGAGACACTGGACTGAGACACTGGACTGAGACACTGGGGCTGAGACACTGGACTGAGACACTGGGCTGAGACACTGGACTGAGACACTGGACTGAGACACTGGGGCTGAGACACTGGACTGAGACACTGGGGCTGAGACACTGGGGATGAGACACTGGGCTGAGACACTGGACTGAGGCACTGGGCTGAGACACTGGGCTGAGACACTGGACTGAGACACTGGACTGAGACACTGGGCTGAGACACTGGGCTGAGACACTGGACTGAGACACTGGACTGAGACACTGGACTGAGACACTGGGGCTGAGACACTGGGCTGAGACACTGGACTGAGACACTGGACTGAGACACTGGACTGAGACACTGGGGCTGAGACACTGGACTGAGACACTGGGCTGAGACACTGGACTGAGACACTGGACTGAGACACTGGGGCTGAGACACTGGACTGAGACACTGGGCTGAGACACTGGACTGAGACACTGGACTGAGACACTGGGATGAGACACTGGGCTGAGACACTGGACTGAGGCACTGGGCTGAGACACTGGGCTGAGACACTGGACTGAGACACTGGACTGAGACACTGGACTGAGACACTGGGGCTGAGACACTGGGCTGAGACACTGGGCTGAGACACTGGACTGAGGCACTGGGCTGAGGCACTGGGCTGAGACACTGGGGATGAGACACTGGGCTGAGACACTGGACTGAGACACTGGACTGAGACACTGGGGCTGAGACACTGGGCTGAGGCACTGGGCTGAGACACTGGACTGAGACACTGGGGCTGAGACACTGGGCTGAGACACTGGGGCTGAGACACTGGGCTGAGACACTGGGCTGAGACACTGGACTGAGACACTGGACTGAGACACTGGGGCTGAGACACTGGACTGAGACACTGGGCTGAGACACTGGACTGAGACACTGGACTGAGACACTGGGGATGAGACACTGGGCTGAGACACTGGACTGAGGCACTGGGCTGAGACACTGGGCTGAGACACTGGACTGAGACACTGGACTGAGACACTGGACTGAGACACTGGGGCTGAGACACTGGGGCTGAGACACTGGGGCTGAGACACTGGGCTGAGACACTGGACTGAGACACTGGACTGAGACACTGGACTGAGACACTGGGCTGAGACACTGGGCTGAGACACTGGGCTGAGACACTGGACTGCTATTAAATTCAGATAAAACGGAGGTATTACTTATTGGTCCAAAAAACTACTCACAAAACCTCTCACAATACAACTTTAATATAGACGGATGTCCTGTTACTTTATCCACAACAGTAAAAGACCTGGGTGTTATACTAGACCGCAACTTGTCGTTCGAAAATCATATTTCATATGTTACAAGAACAGCCTTTTTCCACCTTAGAAACATTGCTAAGCTACGTAACATGCTATCTATTTCTGATGCAGAAAAATTAGTTCACGCATTCATGACCTCGAGACTAGATTACTGTAATGCTTTATTAGCCGGTTGTCCTGCATCCTCAATAAACAAGCTACAGTTAGTACAAAATGCAGCTGCTAGAGTTCTTACTAGGTCAAGAAAATATGATCATATAACACCGATTTTATCATCTCTACACTGGTTACCTATTAAGTTCCGCATCAACTACAAAATACTACTACTGACCTATAAAGCCCTAAATGGTTTAGCTCCTATGTACTTAACGGACCTTCTTTCGCCCTACAAACCACCGCGTTCCTTAAGATCACTAAATTCAAGGCTTCTGGTCATTCCTAGGATATCGAAGTCCAGTAAAGGAGGGAGGGCGTTCTCGCATTTAGCTCCAAAACTCTGGAATGGCCTTCCCGATACGGTCCGAGCCTCTGACTCGCTGACACAGTTCAAAACTAGATTAAAGACGCATCTCTTTAGTCAAGCATTCACATAATGCTTACCTTCTAGTCCTCAGTTATGCCATACGGAACCGTTTGCCACTGAAACTGCTTAACGCACCAGTGGGGCTCGACAGCCTTTTAGACAAACGGGTCGGCGCATATGGTTGGGTTGCGGAGAGTTCGGGTTACGGAGAGTTTGTGAGTTATAACGGAAATCATTATGAACATCAGCTATGCTAATTATTTCCCATCTGCCTTTCTGCTGTTATCTCGGGACGCTTGTCCCGAGAAAAATGGCGTTCGTCAGGTCCAGTTTTGTGTCCAGCCTCTCACGGGGATTTCGGATGCCCCAACGCCTGTGATGAGACGACTCAACGCCTGTGATGAGACGACTCAACGCCTGCGATATGTTATGGCGCCGTTTGATTCATAAACAATATTTATATTTAATATTTATATTTAAACAATATGAATGTAAGCCAGAGGAGAACTGGCCCCCGACTGAGCCTGGGTTCTCCCAAGGTTTTTTCTCCATCCAATCTGATGGAGTTTGGTTCCTTGCCACTGTCGCCTTGCTTTTGGCTTGCTTTGAGCTTGCTCAGTTGGGGTTATTTAGTGTTTAGCAATGTTGTTGATCTGTGTTGTGCTACTTTCATGTTATCACTGTGAAGCTGCTTTGATACAATCTGTATTGTGAAAAGCGCTATATAAATAAATGTGACTTGACTTGACTTGACTGAGACACTGGACTGAGACACTGGGGCTGAGACACTGGGGATGAGACACTGGGCTGAGACACTGGACTGAGGCACTGGGCTGAGACACTGGGCTGAGACACTTGGCTGAGACACTGGACTGAGACACTGGGATGAGACACTGGACTGAGACACTGGGCTGAGACACTGGACTGAGACACTGGGATGAGACACTGGGCTGAGACACTGGACTGAGGCACTGGGCTGAGACACTGGACTGAGACACTGGACTGAGACACTGGACTGAGACACTGGACTGAGACACTGGGATGAGACACTGGGATGAGACACTGGACTGAGACACTGGGATGAGACACTGGACTGAGACACTGGACTGAGACACTGGACTGAGACACTGGACTGAGACACTGGGCTGAGACACTGGGCTGAGACACAGGTGTGTCTCCTTTCAGTTATCAGTGTTTAGATCACAAGGCTAAAATCTGGAGATGTCTCAATCCTTCTTTTATAATCCTTCATTATAAATGCAGGTCATAACTCTAATACGGCAGGTGAACGCCCTCTGCTGTTCTGCTCTTACAGTACTAGAGGTTAAACTGGAGTGTGTCCAGGGCAGCGCTGCTGTAGAAGTGAGGAGGACACGTGTACCTGCAGTGAAGCTGGACTCGCTCTCGCTGCTCCTCTTCGTGGAGAGGTCAATGGGGTCAACGCTGCCGTCCACGGGAGACTCTTCCGCTGCTGCATCATGGGAAGGCTCCGGCTTCACCTGTGTGTCCAGAACAAGACACAAGTCAAACTGGTGCTGCTAATCACGTCTCATGTCAGTGTTCAGAAAGTCCTCTGACCTGAGCGTGCTGCAGTGTGTGTAGCTCTGCGCTGAAGTCGTCGGGTCGCTCGGAGTCGGAGTCGCTGCTTATGCTGCAGTCTGCAAACACACACTCTCCATCACTCTCCGACTTTGAGGATATCCATTATTATTAAATGCAAAAATGACTCAATACCAGTATCGTATTGGACCGCACGTGTACACTACAATGCTTCGATACATAAAGCCGATATCTCGCAGAGTGTGCACAGTGTTTGTGCCAAGACAAAGAAACACTGACAACAGAGCAAACAGACAATATATAATGGAGATATCAGACAAAGATGTCTATAAGGTAAAAGTATCTATTTAGTAGAATATTAAACAAATTAAAATATGCCAACATAGCTGCTGTGTGTGAGCTGATAAGTGAATGAGACACTGGGCTGAGACACTGGGCTGAGACACTGGGCTGAGACACTGGGCTGAGACACTGGGCTGAGACACTGGGCTGAGACACTGGACTGAGACACTGGACTGAGACACTGGACTGAGACACTGGACTGAGACACTGGGGCTGAGACACTGGACTGAGACACTGGGCTGAGACACTGGACTGAGACACTGGACTGAGACACTGGACTGAGACACTGGGACTGAGACACTGGACTGAGACACTGGGCTGAGACACTGGACTGAGACACTGGACTGAGACACTGGGGATGAGACACTGGGCTGAGACACTGGACTGAGGCACTGGGCTGAGACACTGGGCTGAGACACTGGACTGAGACACTGGACTGAGACACTGGACTGAGACACTGGGGCTGAGACACTGGGCTGAGACACTGGGCTGAGACACTGGACTGAGGCACTGGGCTGAGGCACTGGGCTGAGACACTGGGGATGAGACACTGGGCTGAGACACTGGACTGAGACACTGGACTGAGACACTGGGGCTGAGACACTGGGCTGAGGCACTGGGCTGAGACACTGGACTGAGACACTGGACTGAGACACTGGACTGAGACACTGGGGCTGAGACACTGGACTGAGACACTGGGCTGAGACACTGGACTGAGACACTGGACTGAGACACTGGGGCTGAGACACTGGACTGAGACACTGGGCTGAGACACTGGACTGAGACACTGGACTGAGACACTGGGGATGAGACACTGGGCTGAGACACTGGACTGAGGCACTGGGCTGAGACACTGGGCTGAGACACTGGACTGAGACACTGGACTGAGACACTGGACTGAGACACTGGGGCTGAGACACTGGCTGAGACACTGGGCTGAGACACTGGACTGAGGCACTGGGCTGAGGCACTGGGCTGAGACACTGGGGATGAGACACTGGGCTGAGACACTGGACTGAGACACTGGACTGAGACACTGGGGCTGAGACACTGGGCTGAGGCACTGGGCTGAGACACTGGGATGAGACACTGGGCTGAGACACTGGACTGAGACACTGGACTGAGACACTGGGGCTGAGACACTGGCTGAGACACTGGACTGAGACACTGGACTGAGACACTGGGCTGAGACACTGGGCTGAGACACTGGGCTGAGACACTGGACTGAGACACTGGACTGAGACACTGGGGCTGAGACACTGGACTGAGACACTGGGCTGAGACACTGGACTGAGACACTGGACTGAGACACTGGGGATGAGACACTGGGCTGAGACACTGGACTGAGGCACTGGGCTGAGACACTGGGCTGAGACACTGGACTGAGACACTGGACTGAGACACTGGACTGAGACACTGGGGCTGAGACACTGGGGCTGAGACACTGGGGCTGAGACACTGGGCTGAGACACTGGACTGAGACACTGGACTGAGACACTGGACTGAGACACTGGGCTGAGACACTGGGCTGAGACACTGGACTGCTATTAAATTCAGATAAAACGGAGGTATTACTTATTGGTCCAAAAAACTACTCACAAAACCTCTCACAATACAACTTTAATATAGACGGATGTCCTGTTACTTTATCCACAACAGTAAAAGACCTGGGTGTTATACTAGACCGCAACTTGTCGTTCGAAAATCATATTTCATATGTTACAAGAACAGCCTTTTTCCACCTTAGAAACATTGCTAAGCTACGTAACATGCTATCTATTTCTGATGCAGAAAAATTAGTTCACGCATTCATGACCTCGAGACTAGATTACTGTAATGCTTTATTAGCCGGTTGTCCTGCATCCTCAATAAACAAGCTACAGTTAGTACAAAATGCAGCTGCTAGAGTTCTTACTAGGTCAAGAAAATATGATCATATAACACCGATTTTATCATCTCTACACTGGTTACCTATTAAGTTCCGCATCAACTACAAAATACTACTACTGACCTATAAAGCCCTAAATGGTTTAGCTCCTATGTACTTAACGGACCTTCTTTCGCCCTACAAACCACCGCGTTCCTTAAGATCACTAAATTCAAGGCTTCTGGTCATTCCTAGGATATCGAAGTCCAGTAAAGGAGGGAGGGCGTTCTCGCATTTAGCTCCAAAACTCTGGAATGGCCTTCCCGATACGGTCCGAGCCTCTGACTCGCTGACACAGTTCAAAACTAGATTAAAGACGCATCTCTTTAGTCAAGCATTCACATAATGCTTACCTTCTAGTCCTCTGTTATGCCATACGGACCCGTTTGCCACTGAAACTGCTTAACGCACCAGTGGGGCTCGACAGCCTTTTAGACAAACGGGTCGGCGCGTATGGTTGGGTTGCGGAGAGTTCGGGTTACGGAGAGTTTGTGAGTTATAACGGAAATCATTATGAACATCAGCTATGCTAATTATTTCCCATCTGCCTTTCTGCTGTTATCTCGGGACGCTTGTCCCGAGAAAAATGGCGTTCGTCAGGTCCAGTTTTGTGTCCAGCCTCTCACGGGGATTTCGGATGCCCCAACGCCTGTGATGAGACGACTCAACGCCTGTGATGAGACGACTCAACGCCTGCGATATGTTATGGCGCCGTTTGATTCATAAACAATATTTATATTTAATATTTATATTTAAACAATATGAATGTAAGCCAGAGGAGAACTGGCCCCCGACTGAGCCTGGGTTCTCCCAAGGTTTTTTCTCCATCCAATCTGATGGAGTTTGGTTCCTTGCCACTGTCGCCTTGCTTTTGGCTTGCTTTGAGCTTGCTCAGTTGGGGTTATTTAGTGTTTAGCAATGTTGTTGATCTGTGTTGTGCTACTTTCATGTTATCACTGTGAAGCTGCTTTGATACAATCTGTATTGTGAAAAGCGCTATATAAATAAATGTGACTTGACTTGACTTGACTGAGACACTGGACTGAGACACTGGGGCTGAGACACTGGGGATGAGACACTGGGCTGAGACACTGGACTGAGGCACTGGGCTGAGACACTGGGCTGAGACACTTGGCTGAGACACTGGACTGAGACACTGGGATGAGACACTGGACTGAGACACTGGGCTGAGACACTGGACTGAGACACTGGGATGAGACACTGGGCTGAGACACTGGACTGAGGCACTGGGCTGAGACACTGGACTGAGACACTGGACTGAGACACTGGACTGAGACACTGGACTGAGACACTGGGATGAGACACTGGGATGAGACACTGGACTGAGACACTGGGATGAGACACTGGACTGAGACACTGGACTGAGACACTGGACTGAGACACTGGACTGAGACACTGGGCTGAGACACTGGGCTGAGACACAGGTGTGTCTCCTTTCAGTTATCAGTGTTTAGATCACAAGGCTAAAATCTGGAGATGTCTCAATCCTTCTTTTATAATCCTTCATTATAAATGCAGGTCATAACTCTAATACGGCAGGTGAACGCCCTCTGCTGTTCTGCTCTTACAGTACTAGAGGTTAAACTGGAGTGTGTCCAGGGCAGCGCTGCTGTAGAAGTGAGGAGGACACGTGTACCTGCAGTGAAGCTGGACTCGCTCTCGCTGCTCCTCTTCGTGGAGAGGTCAATGGGGTCAACGCTGCCGTCCACGGGAGACTCTTCCGCTGCTGCATCATGGGAAGGCTCCGGCTTCACCTGTGTGTCCAGAACAAGACACAAGTCAAACTGGTGCTGCTAATCACGTCTCATGTCAGTGTTCAGAAAGTCCTCTGACCTGAGCGTGCTGCAGTGTGTGTAGCTCTGCGCTGAAGTCGTCGGGTCGCTCGGAGTCGGAGTCGCTGCTTATGCTGCAGTCTGCAAACACACACTCTCCATCACTCTCCGACTTTGAGGATATCCATTATTATTAAATGCAAAAATGACTCAATACCAGTATCGTATTGGACCGCACGTGTACACTACAATGCTTCGATACATAAAGCCGATATCTCGCAGAGTGTGCACAGTGTTTGTGCCAAGACAAAGAAACACTGACAACAGAGCAAACAGACAATATATAATGGAGATATCAGACAAAGATGTCTATAAGGTAAAAGTATCTATTTAGTAGAATATTAAACAAATTAAAATATGCCAACATAGCTGCTGTGTGTGAGCTGATAAGTGAATGAGACACTGGGCTGAGACACTGGGCTGAGACACTGGGCTGAGACACTGGGCTGAGACACTGGGCTGAGACACTGGGCTGAGACACTGGACTGAGACACTGGACTGAGACACTGGACTGAGACACTGGACTGAGACACTGGGGCTGAGACACTGGACTGAGACACTGGGCTGAGACACTGGACTGAGACACTGGACTGAGACACTGGACTGAGACACTGGGACTGAGACACTGGACTGAGACACTGGGCTGAGACACTGGACTGAGACACTGGACTGAGACACTGGGGATGAGACACTGGGCTGAGACACTGGACTGAGGCACTGGGCTGAGACACTGGGCTGAGACACTGGACTGAGACACTGGACTGAGACACTGGGCTGAGACACTGGGCTGAGACACTGGACTGAGACACTGGACTGAGACACTGGACTGAGACACTGGGGCTGAGACACTGGACTGAGACACTGGGCTGAGACACTGGACTGAGACACTGGACTGAGACACTGGGGCTGAGACACTGGACTGAGACACTGGGCTGAGACACTGGACTGAGACACTGGACTGAGACACTGGGGATGAGACACTGGGCTGAGACACTGGACTGAGGCACTGGGCTGAGACACTGGGCTGAGACACTGGACTGAGACACTGGACTGAGACACTGGACTGAGACACTGGGGCTGAGACACTGGGCTGAGACACTGGGCTGAGACACTGGACTGAGGCACTGGGCTGAGGCACTGGGCTGAGACACTGGGGATGAGACACTGGGCTGAGACACTGGACTGAGACACTGGACTGAGACACTGGGGCTGAGACACTGGGCTGAGGCACTGGGCTGAGACACTGGGGATGAGACACTGGGCTGAGACACTGGACTGAGACACTGGACTGAGACACTGGGGCTGAGACACTGGGCTGAGACACTGGACTGAGACACTGGACTGAGACACTGGGGCTGAGACACTGGGCTGAGACACTGGGCTGAGACACTGGACTGAGACACTGGACTGAGACACTGGGGCTGAGACACTGGACTGAGACACTGGGCTGAGACACTGGACTGAGACACTGGACTGAGACACTGGGATGAGACACTGGGCTGAGACACTGGACTGAGGCACTGGGCTGAGACACTGGGCTGAGACACTGGACTGAGACACTGGACTGAGACACTGGACTGAGACACTGGGGCTGAGACACTGGGGCTGAGACACTGGGGCTGAGACACTGGGCTGAGACACTGGACTGAGACACTGGACTGAGACACTGGACTGAGACACTGGGCTGAGACACTGGGCTGAGACACTGGACTGCTATTAAATTCAGATAAAACGGAGGTATTACTTATTGGTCCAAAAAACTACTCACAAAACCTCTCACAATACAACTTTAATATAGACGGATGTCCTGTTACTTTATCCACAACAGTAAAAGACCTGGGTGTTATACTAGACCGCAACTTGTCGTTCGAAAATCATATTTCATATGTTACAAGAACAGCCTTTTTCCACCTTAGAAACATTGCTAAGCTACGTAACATGCTATCTATTTCTGATGCAGAAAAATTAGTTCACGCATTCATGACCTCGAGACTAGATTACTGTAATGCTTTATTAGCCGGTTGTCCTGCATCCTCAATAAACAAGCTACAGTTAGTACAAAATGCAGCTGCTAGAGTTCTTACTAGGTCAAGAAAATATGATCATATAACACCGATTTTATCATCTCTACACTGGTTACCTATTAAGTTCCGCATCAACTACAAAATACTACTACTGACCTATAAAGCCCTAAATGGTTTAGCTCCTATGTACTTAACGGACCTTCTTTCGCCCTACAAACCACCGCGTTCCTTAAGATCACTAAATTCAAGGCTTCTGGTCATTCCTAGGATATCGAAGTCCAGTAAAGGAGGGAGGGCGTTCTCGCATTTAGCTCCAAAACTCTGGAATGGCCTTCCCGATACGGTCCGAGCCTCTGACTCGCTGACACAGTTCAAAACTAGATTAAAGACGCATCTCTTTAGTCAAGCATTCACATAATGCTTACCTTCTAGTCCTCTGTTATGCCATACGGACCCGTTTGCCACTGAAACTGCTTAACGCACCAGTGGGGCTCGACAGCCTTTTAGACAAACGGGTCGGCGCGTATGGTTGGGTTGCGGAGAGTTCGGGTTACGGAGAGTTTGTGAGTTATAACGGAAATCATTATGAACATCAGCTATGCTAATTATTTCCCATCTGCCTTTCTGCTGTTATCTCGGGACGCTTGTCCCGAGAAAAATGGCGTTCGTCAGGTCCAGTTTTGTGTCCAGCCTCTCACGGGGATTTCGGATGCCCCAACGCCTGTGATGAGACGACTCAACGCCTGTGATGAGACGACTCAACGCCTGCGATATGTTATGGCGCCGTTTGATTCATAAACAATATTTATATTTAATATTTATATTTAAACAATATGAATGTAAGCCAGAGGAGAACTGGCCCCCGACTGAGCCTGGGTTCTCCCAAGGTTTTTTCTCCATCCAATCTGATGGAGTTTGGTTCCTTGCCACTGTCGCCTTGCTTTTGGCTTGCTTTGAGCTTGCTCAGTTGGGGTTATTTAGTGTTTAGCAATGTTGTTGATCTGTGTTGTGCTACTTTCATGTTATCACTGTGAAGCTGCTTTGATACAATCTGTATTGTGAAAAGCGCTATATAAATAAATGTGACTTGACTTGACTTGACTGAGACACTGGACTGAGACACTGGGGCTGAGACACTGGGGATGAGACACTGGGCTGAGACACTGGACTGAGGCACTGGGCTGAGACACTGGGCTGAGACACTTGGCTGAGACACTGGACTGAGACACTGGGATGAGACACTGGACTGAGACACTGGGCTGAGACACTGGACTGAGACACTGGGATGAGACACTGGGCTGAGACACTGGACTGAGGCACTGGGCTGAGACACTGGACTGAGACACTGGACTGAGACACTGGACTGAGACACTGGACTGAGACACTGGGATGAGACACTGGGATGAGACACTGGACTGAGACACTGGGATGAGACACTGGACTGAGACACTGGACTGAGACACTGGACTGAGACACTGGACTGAGACACTGGGCTGAGACACTGGGCTGAGACACAGGTGTGTCTCCTTTCAGTTATCAGTGTTTAGATCACAAGGCTAAAATCTGGAGATGTCTCAATCCTTCTTTTATAATCCTTCATTATAAATGCAGGTCATAACTCTAATACGGCAGGTGAACGCCCTCTGCTGTTCTGCTCTTACAGTACTAGAGGTTAAACTGGAGTGTGTCCAGGGCAGCGCTGCTGTAGAAGTGAGGAGGACACGTGTACCTGCAGTGAAGCTGGACTCGCTCTCGCTGCTCCTCTTCGTGGAGAGGTCAATGGGGTCAACGCTGCCGTCCACGGGAGACTCTTCCGCTGCTGCATCATGGGAAGGCTCCGGCTTCACCTGTGTGTCCAGAACAAGACACAAGTCAAACTGGTGCTGCTAATCACGTCTCATGTCAGTGTTCAGAAAGTCCTCTGACCTGAGCGTGCTGCAGTGTGTGTAGCTCTGCGCTGAAGTCGTCGGGTCGCTCGGAGTCGGAGTCGCTGCTTATGCTGCAGTCTGCAAACACACACTCTCCATCACTCTCCGACTTTGAGGATATCCATTATTATTAAATGCAAAAATGACTCAATACCAGTATCGTATTGGACCGCACGTGTACACTACAATGCTTCGATACATAAAGCCGATATCTCGCAGAGTGTGCACAGTGTTTGTGCCAAGACAAAGAAACACTGACAACAGAGCAAACAGACAATATATAATGGAGATATCAGACAAAGATGTCTATAAGGTAAAAGTATCTATTTAGTAGAATATTAAACAAATTAAAATATGCCAACATAGCTGCTGTGTGTGAGCTGATAAGTGAATGAGACACTGGGCTGAGACACTGGGCTGAGACACTGGGCTGAGACACTGGGCTGAGACACTGGGCTGAGACACTGGGCTGAGACACTGGGCTGAGACACTGGACTGAGACACTGGACTGAGACACTGGGGCTGAGACACTGGACTGAGGCACTGGACTGAGACACTGGACTGAGGCACTGGGCTGAGACACTGGACTGAGGCACTGGGCTGAGACACTGGACTGAGGCACTGGACTGAGACACTGGACTGAGGCACTGGACTGAGACACTGGACTGAGACACAGGACTGAGACACTGGGCTGAGACACAGGACTGAGACACTGGGCTGAGACACTGGACTGAGACACTGGACTGAGACACAGGACTGAGACACTGGGCTGAGACACTGGGATGAGACACTAGACTGAGACACTGGGATGAGACACTGGGCTGAGACACTTGGCTGAGACACTGGGCTGAGACACTGGGATGAGACACTGGACTGAGAGACTGGGCTGAGACACTGGGATGAGACACTGGGATGAGACACTGGGATGAGACACTGGGATGAGACACTGGACTGAGACACTGAGATGAGACACTGGACTGAGACACTGGGATGAGACACTGGGATGAGACACTGAGATGAGACACTGGACTGAGACACTGGGCTGAGACACTGGGATGACACTGGGATGAGACACTGGACTGAGACACTGGACTGAGACACTGGACTGAGACACTGGACTGAGACACTGGGATGAGACACTGGACTGAGACACTGGACTGAGACACTGGGATGAGACGCTGGGATGAGAGACTGGGCTGAGACACTGGACTGAGACACTGGGATGAGAGACTGGACTGAGACACTGGGCTGAGACACTGGGATGAGACACTGGACTGAGACACTGGGATGAGACACTGGGCTGAGACACTGGACTGCTATTAAATTCAGATAAAACGGAGGTATTACTTATTGGTCCAAAAAACTACTCACAAAACCTCTCACAATACAACTTTAATATAGACGGATGTCCTGTTACTTTATCCACAACAGTAAAAGACCTGGGTGTTATACTAGACCGCAACTTGTCGTTCGAAAATCATATTTCATATGTTACAAGAACAGCCTTTTTCCACCTTAGAAACATTGCTAAGCTACGTAACATGCTATCTATTTCTGATGCAGAAAAATTAGTTCACGCATTCATGACCTCGAGACTAGATTACTGTAATGCTTTATTAGCCGGTTGTCCTGCATCCTCAATAAACAAGCTACAGTTAGTACAAAATGCAGCTGCTAGAGTTCTTACTAGGTCAAGAAAATATGATCATATAACACCGATTTTATCATCTCTACACTGGTTACCTATTAAGTTCCGCATCAACTACAAAATACTACTACTGACCTATAAAGCCCTAAATGGTTTAGCTCCTATGTACTTAACGGACCTTCTTTCGCCCTACAAACCACCGCGTTCCTTAAGATCACTAAATTCAAGGCTTCTGGTCATTCCTAGGATATCGAAGTCCAGTAAAGGAGGGAGGGCGTTCTCGCATTTAGCTCCAAAACTCTGGAATGGCCTTCCCGATACGGTCCGAGCCTCTGACTCGCTGACACAGTTCAAAACTAGATTAAAGACGCATCTCTTTAGTCAAGCATTCACATAATGCTTACCTTCTAGTCCTCAGTTATGCCATACGGACCCGTTTGCCACTGAAACTGCTTAACGCACCAGTGGGGCTCGACAGCCTTTTAGACAAACGGGTCGGCGCGTATGGTTGGGTTGCGGAGAGTTCGGGTTACGGAGAGTTTGTGAGTTATAACGGAAATCATTATGAACATCAGCTATGCTAATTATTTCCATCTGCCTTTCTGCTGTTATCTCGGGACGCTTGTCCCGAGAAAAATGGCGTTCGTCAGGTCCAGTTTTGTGTCCAGCCTCTCACGGGGATTTCGGATGCCCCAACGCCTGTGATGAGACGACTCAACGCCTGTGATGAGACGACTCAACGCCTGCGATATGTTATGGCGCCGTTGATTCATAAACAATATTTATATTTAATATTTATATATAAACAATATGAATGTAAGCCAGAGGAGAACTGGCCCCCGACTGAGCCTGGGTTCTCCCAAGGTTTTTTCTCCATCCAATCTGATGGAGTTTGGTTCCTTGCCACTGTCGCCTTGCTTTTGGCTTGCTTTGAGCTTGCTCAGTTGGGGTTATTTAGTGTTTAGCAATGTTGTTGATCTGTGTTGTGCTACTTTCATGTTATCACTGTGAAGCTGCTTTGATACAATCTGTATTGTGAAAAGCGCTATATAAATAAATGTGACTTGACTTGACTTGACTGAGACACTGACTGAGACACTGGGGCTGAGACACTGGGGATGAGACACTGGCTGAGACACTGGACTGAGGCACTGGGCTGAGACACTGGGCTGAGACACTTGGCTGAGACACTGGACTGAGACACTGGGATGAGACACTGGACTGAGACACTGGACTGAGACACTGGACTGAGACACTGGACTGAGACACTGGATGAGACACTGGACTGAGACACTGGCTGAGACACTGGGCTGAGACACTGGACTGAGACACTGGATGAGACACTGGGCTGAGACACTGGACTGAGGCACTGGGCTGAGACACTGGACTGAGACACTGGACTGAGACACTTGGCTGAGACACTGGACTGAGACACTGGACTGAGACACTGGACTGAGACACTGGGATGAGACACTGGACTGAGACACTGGGATGAGACACTGGACTGAGACACTGGACTGAGACACTGGGATGAGACACTGGGCTGAGACACTGGACTGAGGCACTGGCTGAGACACTGGACTGAGACACTGGCTGAGACACTGGACTGAGACACTTTGCTGAGACACTGACTGAGACACTGGGATGAGACACTGGACTGAGACACTGGGATGAGACACTGGGATGAGACACTGGACTGAGACACTGGGATGAGACACTGGGCTGAGACACTTGGCTGAGACACTGGGATGAGACACTGGACTGAGACACTTGGCTGAGACACTGGACTGAGACACTGGATGAGACACTGGACTGAGACACTGGGATGAGACACTGGATGAGACACTGGACTGAGACACTGGATGAGACACTGGGCTGAGACACTTGGCTGAGACACTGGACTGAGACACTGGGATGAGACACTGGGATGAGACACTGGACTGAGACACTGGGATGAGACACTGGGCTGAGACACTTGGCTGAGACACTGGGCTGAGACACTGGACTGAGACACTGGACTGAGACACAGGACTGAGACACAGGACTGAGACACTGGGGCTGAGACACTGGGGATGAGACACTGGGCTGAGACACTGGACTGAGGCACTGGCTGAGACACTGGGCTGAGACACTGGACTGAGACACTGGACTGAGACACTGGGGCTGAGACACTGGGCTGAGACACTGGGCTGAGACACTGGACTGAGACACTGGGCTGAGACACTGGGCTGAGACACTGGGCTGAGACACTGGGCTGAGACACTGGGCTGAGACACTGGACTGAGACACTGGGGCTGAGACACTGGGCTGAGACACTGGATGAGACACTGGGATGAGACACTGGGATGAGACACTGGGCTGAGACACTTGGCTGAGACACTGGGCTGAGACACTGGGATGAGACACTGGGCTGAGACACTGGACTGAGGCACTGGGCTGAGACACTGGGCTGAGACACTTGGCTGAGACACTTGGCTGAGACACTGGGATGAGACACTGGACTGAGACACTGGATGAGACACTGGGATGAGACACTGGACTGAGACACTGGGATGAGACACTGGGCTGAGACACTTGGCTGAGACACTGGGCTGAGACACTGGGATGAGACACTGGACTGAGAGACTGGGCTGAGACACTGGGATGAGACACTGGGATGAGACACTGGGATGAGACACTGGACTGAGACACTGAGATGAGACACTGGACTGAGACACTGAGATGAGACACTGGACTGAGACACTGGGATGAGACACTGGGATGAGACACTGGACTGAGACAATGGGCTGAGACACTGGGATGAGACACTGGCTGATACACTGGACTGAGACACTGGACTGAGACACTGGGATGAGACGCTGGATGAGAGACTGGGCTGAGACACTGGACTGAGACAATGGGATGAGAGACTGGACTGAGACACTGGCTGAGACACTGGACTGAGACACTGGACTGAGACACTGGACTGAGACACTGGGATGAGACACTGGACTGAGACACTGGGATGAGACACTGGACTGAGACACTGGACTGAGACACTGGACTGAGACACTGGACTGAGACACTGGGCTGAGACACTGGGCTGAGACACTGGACTGAGACACAGGTGTGTCTCCTTTCAGTTATCAGTGTTTAGATCACAAGGCTAAAATCTGGAGATGTCTCAATCCTTCTTTTATAATCCTTCATTATAAATGCAGGTCATAACTCTAATACGGCAGGTGAACGCCCTCTGCTGTTCTGCTCTTACAGTACTAGAGGTTAAACTGGAGTGTGTCCAGGGCAGCGCTGCTGTAGAAGTGAGGAGGACACGTGTACCTGCAGTGAAGCTGGACTCGCTCTCGCTGCTCCTCTTCGTGGAGAGGTCAATGGAGTCAACGCTGCCGTCCACGGGAGACTCTTCCGCTGCTGCATCATGGGAAGGCTCCGGCTTCACCTGTGTGTCCAGAACAAGACACAAGTCAAACCGGTGCTGCTTATCACGTCTCATGTCAGTGTTCAGAAAGTCCTCTGACCTGAGCGTGCTGCAGTGTGTGTAGCTCTGCGCTGAAGTCGTCGGGTCGCTCGGAGTCGGAGTCGCTGCTTATGCTGCAGTCTGCAAACACACACTCTCCATCACTCTCCGACTTTGAGGATATCCATTATTATTAAATGCAAAAATGACTCAATACCAGTATCGTATTGGACCGCACGTGTACACTACAATGCTTCGATACATAAAGCCGATATCTCGCAGAGTGTGCACAGTGTTTGTGCCAAGACAAAGAAACACTGACAACAGAGCAAACAGACAATATATAATGGAGATATCAGACAAAGATGTCTATAAGGTAAAAGTATCTATTTAGTAGAATATTAAACAAATTAAAATATGCCAACATAGCTGCTGTGTGTGAGCTGATAAGTGAATGAGACACTGGGCTGAGACACTGGGATGAGACACTGGGCTGAGACACTGGGCTGAGACACTGGGCTGAGACACTGGACTGAGACACTGGACTGAGACACTGGGCTGAGACACTGGGGATGAGACACTGGGGATGAGACACTGGACTGAGGCACTGGACTGAGACACTGGACTGAGACACAGGACTGAGACACTGGGCTGAGACACAGGACTGAGACACTGGGCTGAGACACTGGACTGAGACACTGGACTGAGACACAGGACTGAGACACTGGGCTGAGACACTGGGGATGAGACACTGGGCTGAGACACTGGACTGAGGCACTGGGCTGAGACACTGGACTGAGACACTGGGCTGAGACACTGGGCTGAGACACTGGGCTGAGACACTGGACTGAGACACTGGACTGAGACACTGGACTGAGACACTGGGGCTGAGACACTGGGCTGAGACACTGGGCTGAGACACTGGACTGAGACACTGGGGCTGAGACACTGGACTGAGACACTGGGCTGAGACACTGGACTGAGACACTGGGGCTGAGACACTGGACTGAGACACTGGACTGAGACACTGGACTGAGACACTGGACTGAGACACTGGGGATGAGACATTGGGCTGAGACACTGGACTGAGGCACTGGGCTGAGACACTGGGCTGAGACACTGGACTGAGACACTGGACTGAGACACTGGGGCTGAGACACTGGCTGAGACACTGGGCTGAGACACTGGACTGAGGCACTGGGCTGAGGCACTGGGCTGAGGCACTGGGGATGAGACACTGGGCTGAGACACTGGACTGAGACACTGGACTGAGACACTGGGGCTGAGACACTGGCTGAGGCACTGGGCTGAGACACTGGGGATGAGACACTGGGCTGAGACACTGGACTGAGACACTGGACTGAGACACTGGGGCTGAGACACTGGGCTGAGACACTGGGCTGAGACACTGGACTGAGACACTGGACTGAGACACTGGGGCTGAGACACTGGGCTGAGACACTGGACTGAGACACTGGACTGAGACACTGGGGCTGAGACACTGGGCTGAGACACTGGACTGAGACACTGGACTGAGACACTGGGATGAGACACTGGGCTGAGACACTGGACTGAGGCACTGGGCTGAGACACTGGGGATGAGACACTGGGATGAGACACTGGACTGAGACACTGGGCTGAGACACTGGGCTGAGACACTGGGCTGAGACACTGGACTGAGACACTGGACTGAGACACTGGACTGAGACACTGGGGCTGAGACACTGGGCTGAGACACTGGGCTGAGACACTGGGCTGAGACACTGGACTGAGACACTGGGCTGAGACACTGGGCTGAGACACTGGGCTGAGACACTGGGCTGAGACACTGGGCTGAGACACTGGGCTGAGACACTGGACTGCTATTAAATTCAGATAAAACGGAGGTATTACTTATTGGTCCAAAAAACTACTCACAAAACCTCTCACAATACAACTTTAATATAGACGGATGTCCTGTTACTTTATCCACAACAGTAAAAGACCTGGGTGTTATACTAGACCGCAACTTGTCGTTCGAAAATCATATTTCATATGTTACAAGAACAGCCTTTTTCCACCTTAGAAACATTGCTAAGCTACATAACATGCTATCTATTTCAGATGCAGAAAAATTAGTTCACGCATTCATGACCTCGAGACTAGATTACTGTAATGCTTTATTAGCCGGTTGTCCTGCATCCTCAATAAACAAGCTACAGTTAGTACAAAATGCAGCTGCTAGAGTTCTTACTAGGTCAAGAAAATATGATCATATAACACCGATTTTATCATCTCTACACTGGTTACCTATTAAGTTCCGCATCAACTACAAAATACTACTACTGACCTATAAAGCCCTAAATGGTTTAGCTCCTATGTACTTAACGGACCTTCTTTCGCCCTACAAACCACCGCGTTCCTTAAGATCACTAAATTCAAGGCTTCTGGTCATTCCTAGGATATCGAAGTCCAGTAAAGGAGGGAGGGCGTTCTCGCATTTAGCTCCAAAACTCTGGAATGGCCTTCCCGATACGGTCCGAGCCTCTGACTCGCTGACACAGTTCAAAACTAGATTAAAGACGCATCTCTTTAGTCAAGCATTCACATAATGCTTACCTTCTAGTCCTCTGTTATGCCATACGGACCCGTTTGCCACTGAAACTGCTTAACGCACCAGTGGGGCTCGACAGCCTTTTAGACAAACGGGTCGGCGCGTATGTTTGGGTTGCGGAGAGTTCGGGTTACGGAGAGTTTGTGAGTTATAACGGAAATCATTATGAACATCAGCTATGCTAATTATTTCCCATCTGCCTTTCTGCTGTTATCTCGGGACGCTTGTCCCGAGAAAAATGGCGTTCGTCAGGTCCAGTTTTGTGTCCAGCCTCTCACGGGGATTTCGGATGCCCCAACGCCTGTGATGAGACGACTCAACGCCTGTGATGAGACGACTCAACGCCTGCGATATGTTATGGCGCCGTTTGATTCATAAACAATATTTATATTTAATATTTATATTTAAACAATATGAATGTAAGCCAGAGGAGAACTGGCCCCCGACTGAGCCTGGGTTCTCCCAAGGTTTTTTCTCCATCCAATCTGATGGAGTTTGGTTCCTTGCCACTGTCGCCTTGCTTTTGGCTTGCTTTGAGCTTGCTCAGTTGGGGTTATTTAGTGTTTAGCAATGTTGTTGATCTGTGTTGTGCTACTTTCATGTTATCACTGTGAAGCTGCTTTGATACAATCTGTATTGTGAAAAGCGCTATATAAATAAATGTGACTTGACTTGACTTGACTGAGACACTGGACTGAGACACTGGGGCTGAGACACTGGGGATGAGACACTGGGGATGAGACACTGGGCTGAGACACTGGACTGAGGCACTGGGCTGAGACACTGGGCTGAGACACTTGGCTGAGACACTGGACTGAGACACTGGGATGAGACACTGGACTGAGACACTGGGCTGAGACACTGGGCTGAGACACTTGGCTGAGACACTGGGCTGAGACACTGGACTGAGACACTGGACTGAGACACTGGGCTGAGACACTGGGCTGAGACACTTGGCTGAGACACTGGGGATGAGACACTGGGCTGAGACACTGGACTGAGGCACTGGGCTGAGACACTGGGCTGAGACACTGGACTGAGACACTGGACTGAGACACTGGACTGAGACACTGGGGCTGAGACACTGGGGCTGAGACACTGGGCTGAGACACTGGACTGAGACACTGGGCTGAGACACTGGGCTGAGACACTGGACTGAGACACTGGACTGAGACACTGGGGCTGAGACACTGGGCTGAGACACTGGGATGAGACACTGGACTGAGACACTGGGATGAGACACTGGGCTGAGACACTTGGCTGAGACACTGGGCTGAGACACTGGGATGAGACACTGGGCTGAGACACTGGACTGAGGCACTGGGCTGAGACACTGGGCTGAGACACTTGGCTGAGACACTTGGCTGAGACACTGGGATGAGACACTGGACTGAGACACTGGGATGAGACACTGGGATGAGACACTGGACTGAGACACTGGGATGAGACACTGGGCTGAGACACTTGGCTGAGACACTGGGCTGAGACACTGGGATGAGACACTGGACTGAGAGACTGGGCTGAGAGACTGGGCTGAGACACTGGGATGAGACACTGGGATGAGACACTGGGATGAGACACTGGATGAGACACTGGACTGAGACACTGAGATGAGACACTGGACTGAGACACTGGGATGAGACACTGGGATGAGACACTGAGATGAGACACTGGACTGAGACACTGGGCTGAGACACTGGGATGACACTGGATGAGACACTGGGCTGATACACTGGACTGAGACACTGGGATGAGACGCTGGGATGAGAGACTGGGCTGAGACACTGGACTGAGACACTGGGATGAGAGACTGGACTGAGACACTGGGCTGAGACACTGGACTGAGACACTGGACTGAGACACTGGACTGAGACACTGGGATGAGACACTGGACTGAGACACTGGGATGAGACACTGGACTGAGACACTGGACTGAGACACTGGACTGAGACACTGGACTGAGACACTGGGCTGAGACACTGGGCTGAGACACTGGACTGAGACACTGGACTGAGACACAGGTGTGTCTCCTTTCAGTTATCAGTGTTTAGATCACAAGGCTAAAATCTGGAGATGTCTCAATCCTTCTTTTATAATCCTTCATTATAAATGCAGGTCATAACTCTAATACGGCAGGTGAACGCCCTCTGCTGTTCTGCTCTTACAGTACTAGAGGTTAAACTGGAGTGTGTCCAGGGCAGCGCTGCTGTAGAAGTGAGGAGGACACGTGTACCTGCAGTGAAGCTGGACTCGCTCTCGCTGCTCCTCTTCGTGGAGAGGTCAATGGGGTCAACGCTGCCGTCCACGGGAGACTCTTCCGCTGCTGCATCATGGGAAGGCTCCGGCTTCACCTGTGTGTCCAGAACAAGACACGAGTCAAACCGGTGCTGCTAATCACGTCTCATGTCAGTGTTCAGAAAGTCCTCGGACCTGAGCGTGCTGCAGTGTGTGTAGCTCTGCGCTGAAGTCGTCGGGTCGCTCGGAGTCGGAGTCGCTGCTGACGTTGCAGAGGAAGGTGGGCGGCAGCTTCAGGCGTCTGGCTCTCTGCTCCTCGTCTGCAGTCGGCTTCTTCTCCCACACTAGTGTGACCTCGGAGTCTGCAAACACACACTCTCCTTCAGAGTCTGCAAACACACAATGCATCAGAGTCTGCAAACACACACTCTCCAGACTCTGACATAAACCAATGAACAGTGCCCAATAAGATCAAAAACTTGTAAATAAACCGGGAAACCAAACAATTAGAATATAAACTAGGGATGAGTTTAACTCCAACCTTGACTAAATTCATCTAAACCAGCTAATAATTATATTTAGGACTCTTGAATTGCAGGGAGCAGGGTCAGAACTAAAACTGCAGGACGATAACCCTCTGAGAACAGGTTTGGACATCCCTGATCTAGACTAAGAGGTCTAAACAGATTTATTCAAAAACTATGGGACACATAAGATAGCTTACTTGTTGGGATGCTGAAAGGATTTCCAATGGATGGCTGACTGGTTACTTCCTGTCCAGAGGTTTTCAGTCTTGAGGCACTCGTTTCCTCATCTTTTAGACTGGGAATCATAACAGGTGATTTCTCTTTTGATGACAAAGGGCTCCCAAAGATCTTCTCCACAGAGTCTGAACCAAAGACGAACTTGGGAGGAGAGACAAAAGAGAACTTGGGGGTCTTGGTGACCTGAGCACCAAGCTCTGCCCCAGGCGACCCATCTAGTTTAGGACTGCTTTCAACCTCGGGAAGTACAGTACGCTCTTTTGTGGTTTCCTCAAGTACAGCAACTGCAGCCTTACCACAAATTGGCTCTTGGCTGAAGGCAGGTACTCTTGCGGAAAGCAGGGTGAGAAGAGTGTCTTTTTCCTGGGCAGCCTTTGCCTCTTCAAAGACTTCTTTGAACATTCTTGCCGTTTCCTCCAGTTTAAACCTTACAGCCAACTGTTCAATCTTGCCCTGGCCTTCAGCAAAATCAAAGGCACTCCAGATCCATGCTTTCTCGGATCCTTTCATGGGCTCAAGATTCATATTTGAAGCAATCCAATGGTTTGCACACAATTTCAGGACCTGATCACGCCTCATAACAAGTCTGACGCGCTTTGTTTCATAGTTTTGTAGTATTTTAAGGTCTCCTATACCTCGTTCCTTCCACTGACTAAGTTCTTTATCATAGCGGTATAGTTTGGCCCTGTGACTGAAAATGACTTGCTCGTTCTCCTCTCCTGTTGAGACCTCAACAAGATCAGGCAACGGCACAACAGGCTCAAAGTACTGACCATCTCGCTCTTCCTCTTGCGATGCTTCTTGTTCATCATCTGTGCCAACGGAAGCCTGGCTCTGGTTTAGCTTAGATGGAGACTTGGAGGGACTGAGAATAGGCTGAAAACTGAAACTAAAGTCTGTGGACGATTCGCCAAAACGGAACAAACTTTTTCCTACTGGATCAGGCTGCAAAGAGGTATTGCACACAGAAGAATCAGCATAGTTGTCAAGCGCTTCTTCTTGCAAATCATAAATATCCCATTCTAAAGCAGTTGTGGTGCTTTCAGAGTCGAGTTTGACTGTGACTGAAGAGGTACTGACACCTGCAATGCTACTTTCATCATCCTTGCTTTGGAAAGTCAAGAATGATTTTAAGTCTTTAAGACCAGATTTAATTTCTTCAGCTTTCTGTATAAGTTGGGCCGTTCTGCCAGTATTCACAAGCTTGTGAGGGATCTGCAAAGGAATATCCAATAGCAGCCGCTGACACTCCTCAAATTTTGGCTTGGACTCTTCTGCAATCTCTGGTGCTCTAGTATTCTGCGAATACAAGCTTTTCTCATCTTCTTCCCCTGTAACAAGGTCAAACTTCTCAGGCATCTGAACAACTGGCTCAAACTGAATATCGTCATTATCCTCTGTTTTGTACATTTCATCTTCTTGATCAGCAGAGGTATCTGTCTTGGAGGTGGAATTAAATGCTGTAAACAGCTGCTGGCCAGCCCCGGCAAAGCCTTTGAAAGTGGGATCCTTCTGGCCAAACTGAAAACTACCTTGTGAGCACGTTGCCAAGTCTGCAAAACTAAAAAAGTCAGGCTTACCGGTAATGAGGGGATTATTATCATGGCTACCAGTGTCTAAGGGCTCATCTGAGGAACTTGGGATTGCTTCTTTTTCCTTCTCTCTGTGAAGTTCAGCAAAACTAAAAGAGTCAGGCTTACCGCTAAGGAGGGGATTATTATCGGGACTACCAGTGTCCAAGGACTCATCTGAGGACTCTTTTTCCTTCTCTCTGTGAAGTTCAGCAATATTTTTTAAGAGGTCAGATGCAGATCCATTTTGTGACTGTCCGTCTGATGCGTTTGCCTCAGATTCTGCAATGCCAAACTTGAAACCTCCAGCAGGCACTGCCATGGAAAACGAAAACACTGAACTGCTTGACTTATCAGCCTGAGATGTAGAGGACTCAACAAACTTAAAACCTTCTGAGGATGCTTTTTCTTTACTTGTACCAAACTGAAAAGCAGGACCTGGATTGAAATTGGCAGTAAATCCTGTTGCAGCAGGTTGCTTGCTAGAACTACCAAAACTGAATGAAAAAGAGGACCTTGATGGTGCAGTAGAGGTCTTGCCTTTCATATTTGGGTTTGCTGCCTGACATGAAACACACTGCCTAGTTGTACCTTCATTTTTTGCCAGGCAAGTGTCACAATCCCACTGTCCCTTTTTACCAAACATGGCAGCTAACTCAATGCTGCAGGGAGCTTTGCAAGAAACGCATTCAGTTGCTGAAGCATCATTCCTCATGAAGCAGGAGTCAAAGTCCCATTGACCCTCTTTCTTGACAAATTGAGAGCCAAAACCAGAGCCAAGAGGGAGAACTGGAGTTGCTGACACTTTCACATGTTGTGGTGCTTCAGCCTGAATAGTTTTCTTATCAGCCTGAGCTGTAAGGTCAACAGCGGTTCCTGCAGAATCATTTGATCCAAATTGATAAGAAATGGATATTGGAGACCCAAATGCTAATCCCTTTGAGCTGACATCAGTGTCTCCAGTAAGTCCAAAAGAAAAAGATTTGGCAGGAGGAGCCACAGGTGCAGAGCCTTTAAGTTCCTCTACAGGTTTAATCTTTGCTGTAGAAGGAGCTGCACTGTTGCAGGCAACACACACTGCAGATGTGGGAGCGTTTCTTACACAGCACACATCGCAGTCCCATTCACCCTGCTTCTTGGAAAACAGTGTTTTAAGATCGATTTCTTTGGATGAAACCTGAGGTTTTGGAGTTTCACATTTCTTTTTCAACTGTTGGCCATGTGGGGACACTACAGGTTTTTCCTTTGCTGTAGAAGGAGCTGCACTGTTGCAGGCAACACACACCGCAGATGTGGGAGCGTTTCTTACACAGCACACATCACAGTCCCATTCACCCTGCTTCTTGGAAAACAGTGTTTTAAGATCCATTTCTTTGGATGAAACCTGAGGTTTCGGAGTTTCATTTTTATTTTCCAGTTGTTGGCCTTGTGGAGACTCTAGAATGAATTTTTGAGCTTCCTCAAATTTGAATTTAAACAGTGTGGCCTCATCCGCAGTTTTAAAACGAATGGCCAACTGCTCAGTCTTGGGCATTTCATCTGCATAGTCCATAGCATACCACACCCAGGACTTGTCAGATCCAGCATTTGGTTTGAGGACCATATCTGCAGTGATATAGTGATTAGCACAGATTTTGAGAACCTGTTCCCTCCTCATCAACAGACGAACTTTCCCTGAAGTTCTGTGTTTTAGAATTTTGAGACTTCCAATGCCCCTCTCTTTCCATTCTTTAGTCTCAGGGTCGAACCGGAAGAGTTTTGCTCTCTTGCAGAACATCTCCTCTTCCTCCTCCACTACCTTTGTTGGTGTAACATTTGCAGCAGTGCGTAGAAGATACTGCGAATTATATGCTGGAGACTGGTTGTAGTACACAGAGGGACCTGTAGTGGCAACTGAGAAAAAGGGAATGGATTTTAATTATGTCTTAAATATTGTATATGCAAGTGGATCAAATTTTGGTGATGTCACCATTTAGAAGTAGAACATTTTTGGTAACACTTAAACAGGTGTGCTGTCAATTGTGTATTTCATTTCAACCTCAATCATAGTCAGATTTCATTTAAAACATGTTTAATCTTATACTATCCAATTGGTGCACATTAAGAACCACATAAAAAAATACATTAAAAAATTAAATACAGCAGATTTGGGGAAGAAAGCAACTCATGAACTGACCAGTAAGAGGAGCACCATGGAAGGCCTGTGGTCCAGGAAATCCTTCCTGAAGTCCTTCTGCAGGATAGTTATCTCTGTACATCCTATATGAGGATGCTGTCGCTTCAGGGGAATTAAGGCGCAGGTCATGAACCTCATTCTGTGCAAGACGGAAAACAAAACATGATATTACTAACCCTAAAAACCCCAAAGAGCTTCTGACCAGTTTTACATGGTTGTATGTAAAATCGTACCACTTTTTCAAAAACTAACTTCTAAAACAACACTTAACCGTCTGGGGTCTGAGGTGTTTTCTGGGCCCTTGAGGTGTTCAGACATGCTCTGGCATTTGTGCTTATTTCTGTTACTTGTGACATTTTCATGGCTAAAGTCTGATTACACTGTATTCAGCACAAACTCTGCTACAGTAATATGTCAGCAGCATGTATGCAAAAGTTTGTTGTTTTGAGATAATGACGTTTATGTGTGGTTTGTGGGAAAAAAATGTCACTGAAATAAGGTCATGAAATCCGTACTGATTATTTCTTCACAAGACTTTTGAAAATCGTAACCTAGTACAGTTGCTTGTAAGACTGGAAGATCAGTTCGGTCAGACCTGGGCCCTGACCATTAACCCAACAAAAACTAAAATACTAATGTTTCAGAAAAGACTCAGATGTCAGGGAAAGAGACAATTTCACCCTTGGTACGACCAAAATTGATCATGTCACGAGTTACACATACCTCGGGCTGAACATAAGTGCAACTGGAAACCTAAACTTGGCCGTGAATGAACTGAAAGAGAAAGCAAGAAGGGCCTTCTATGCCATCAAAAAATCTATCCAAATTGAAATACCAATCCGAATCTGGCTCAAAATATTCCAATCAGTCATAGAGCCAATTGCATTATATGGCAGTGAAGTTTGGGGTCCTCTCCTAAATCACGAATTTGACAAATGGGACAAAAACCCGATTGAAACCCTGCATGCCGAGTTCTGTAAGAGTATCCTGGGAGTACAGAGGAACACACCGAACAACGCATGAGTTAGGCCAATACCCTCTGCTACCCTCTGTTAATACACGTTCAAAAACGAATCATCACATTTTGGAAACATCTAAAGATGAGTGACCCCAACTCTTATCATTTTAAAGCCCTTAAAACCCATGAGATGAACCCTGAGAAGAGCCGGCTCCTTCAGCTGGTCCTGCGGCTTCACACACACACACTGACACCACTAACCTTACTCCGCCTCAGGACACACACACAATCCGGTCCAAACACATCATACAAGCACAACGAGAGAATTACCTGACCTACTGGACTAAAACTACAGAGAAACAAAGTAAACTTGAATGTTATTTGGCCCTAAATAGAGACTACACCACCGCAGAATACCCGAGTACAGTGAAAGACTGCAAACTGAGAAGAAGGATGACGAGGTACAGACTGAGCAATCACACACTGACTGTAGAGACGGGCCGACACACACAGAACTGGCGGCCCAGAGAGAGACGCGTCTGCCCGTACTGTGAGCAGGGAGAAGTGGAGACCGACCAGCTGCCCCAACTATGAGGACATTAGAGGGACTTTTTACACAAAATTTGAAATACTTTACCCTAAATTCATGCAATTAAATAACAAAACACAATTACAACATCTATTAGGTGAAAAAAGAGATTGCATCACACTAGCAGCCAGATATATTGATGTTTGTCACAAAAAGAGAGAGTCGACGACCAATCAGTGATGCGCCAACACACACACACACCCGTACACCACACACTCATACACATTGTTTTTCTAAATTATTCACAGAATTTTTAAATGTTCATAAACTGTTCCATTTTATTTATTTTACACTGTTAATTCAATTTAAAATGCTATATTATTTTACTATTTTGATGTCTTTATAATTATTCTATGTATTCCAAGCTTTGGCAATATTGTATGATGTACAGTCATGCCAATAAAGCAATTTTGAATTGAAGAACTGGAAGAGGACCAGTTAACCCTAACCCTAACCTGAACAAAGGAAATTACCATTTGAACTCACTTGTGCACCATTTGAGACGCAAGTCTCACCTTAGAATCACTCTAATCTACATCTCTTGCGCTCTCCCCCCACTCGCTCTCTCGTTATATATGGTTTTATACATAATATTATGTATATATGTGTACAATTATACAGTTTTATACATGTTTGGTATCATTTTAAATGTCTCAGTGCGTCTGGTAGAAATGTCTAATTTCCAAAGAAGTAAACCCAAAGGTAACAAAGTTCTTAAGAGTTTAGAAATATCTTGCACACAAAAGGGTGTGACTTTCAGGCAAATGGTCCTCTGCTCTCAAAAGGTGTAACCTCTGATTGCAAATTTTCATTGTTAGCACAGGTTTCCATGTGAAAGAGGTTTCTGTCTATATAATAAATGTATATGTATAACACTTGCCTATAAGACAAAAAGCGACAGTTATTGGAGTCTCTTTTTTGCATTGATAAGAAAAAAAGAGGGTTAGTAAAAATAGTAAAAAAAAATTACGATATTTAAAAATACGCAGAGTATTCATTAAGCTGCATTTTCTTTCCCTGCTCTCCTTCCGTCTCTCTGGTCATTCCTAGCTCTTGCCAGTTGTAGCCTCTTTCTCCTATTTGTAGTGGAGATGAGTGGTACCCGGTGGGGTCTTCTACTGTTGTAGCCCATCCGCCTCAAGGTTGTGTGTGTTGTGTCTTCTTCACAAATGCTTTGCTGCATACCTCGGTTGTAACGAGTGGTTATTTCAGTCAAAATTGCTGTTCTATCAGCTTGAATCAGTCGGCCCATTCTCCTCTGACCTCTCGCATCAACAAGGCATTTTGGCCCACAGGACTGCCACATACTGGATGTTTTTCCCTTTTCACTCCATTCTTTGTAAACCCTAGAAATGGTTGTGCGTGAAAATCCCAGTAACTGATTGTGAAATACTCAGACACCAACAACCATGCCACGCTCAAAATCGCTTCAATCCCCTTTCTTTCCCATTTTGACATTCAGTTTGGAGTTCAGGAGATTGTCTTGACCAGGACCACACCCCTAAATGCATTGAAGCAACTGCCTTATGTGACTCAGAAATGGGTTAAGTACATGCTGTTCATGTGTGTCTTCTTAAAATCTAAATATTTCTAAAATTATATGATGTTTTTGTTAAGTTTTTATTACACAATACTTTTTTCTGACGTTTTTGAATCTTGCCCCTGGTTTTTACTTGTCAAGTCAGATTTATTATAGCACTTTCGACAATATACAGTTCTTAATGGAATGGTTACACATAGGGATGGGCATGATTAATCGACGATCGATTATTGATCATTAAGAATTTCGTCACACGCACTCAGCTCACGCGCTGAAGTGCAAGGCAAAAGTGTAAACAAGGCTTGACGGTCACCATGCAGGTTGCGGTCGCATCTGACCCCAGATCATGTCATCAACATGCTTATCTTTCTCAACAAAAATCAGTAGACTGGAGCTGAAGTTGTATGCGAGTTATTTTTTATGAAGCTTAAAGTAGCCTAGCCTAATTAATTGTCAGGTAGGCTAATCTCTCTCACCCTTTCTTGACTCCGTGCCTTGATTGAGTTACATGTTGACAAAACCTGTCAGATCTAAATGTTATTATGTTTTTGGTTTAGTTATAGTTAGTTATTTTTATTAAGTTATTTTTATTAAGTTACATAAGTTATTTTTATTATTATTTATTGTTTTGGAACAAACGAGGGTCTCACGAGGGCCAACTCGCAGCTGCAGGTTCAGTTGCGTTAGAGCACCGCCGTGCATATCTTCAAATTTAGCCTAACCAAACGCCCTGTTTAACTGCCACAAGCTGACAATCTTGTAAGAAAATTTAATCGAATGCCCATCCCTAGTTACACATATAGAATTAACAGATCAATAGCATAGATAGAGAGGCCAAACATGCTGAAAGGGGTATGAAAGCCTAAAACACATTTCTATAACATTATTGAACATTTGATTACACACCATTTGATGCCACAGATGATGACAAAATGTGTAAAACTGGAATATCGACTGGCACAAAGAACAGCAGCGTATGCAAATATGTCATTCATGAGAGGTACTGCAGTCATGAGATCGCTTGATTCAACAACACGTGTGGAGCGATGCAGCATGTTTAGGTCTTCTCCAAATGAAACTCACTGATTAAACAGAATTGTCTGTGGCTGGTGAGACCAATGTGGGAGTGACTGTCTCTGCTGCAGAAAGTGTAGATGTAGCTGGTCGTGGGTGGCAGTCCGTGTGTGTGTGTGCCTTCTGCCTGGCTCTCCTCTCTTCTGCTAGTTTCAAGATCTTCTCCACGACTGTATTTAGCCGTTTCTTGAGCAGGCAGCGCCAGCTGCTGCGGTTAGCTGCAGTGTTCTGCCAGATCTCTGTGTTGATGTCCAGGGCTTTCATGTCGCAGCTGCAGACATCTTTATATCTCAGTTGGGGGCGACCTTTGGGTCTTTTGCCGAATGCGAGTTCACAATAGAGGATGTCCTTGGGGATCCGACCATCTTCCATGTGGTGCAAGTGGTCAAGCCAGCGCAGTCTGCATTGTCTGAGCAGCATTTACATGGTGGGGAGGCCTGCACGGGCAAGAACCTGGGCATTGGACACTTTGTCGTTCTAGCAGATGCCAAGGATGCGACGGAGACATTGCATTTGGTAACTTTTCAGCTTCTGCTCTTGCTTGGCATGTGTTGTCCAGGATTCACACCCATCCAGGAGGGTGTTGACTATGCAGGCTTTGCACACTGCCATCTTGGTTTGGGTGCTCAGCTTGGGGTTCTCCCAGATGTGAGCTGTCAGTCGTCTTGGTGTTGCTGCGGCCTTTCCGAAGCATTTGTTGATTTCGGCATCCAAGGACAGGTTGTCACTGATGGTGAACTAAGGTAGGTGAACTGGTGGACCACTTCAAGTTCGTAGTTGTGGATGGTGATGACAGGTGGTGTGTCCACATCTTGACCCAGCACATTGGTCTTCTTCAGGCTGATGGTTAGTCCGAAGTCTTTGTAGGCCTGGGAGAATCCATCCATTAGACACTATAGACCTTGTTCAGTGTGAGAGGTGACTGCTGCTTCTCTAATGATGATCTCACTCACCTTGGTTTTTGCTTTCTTGAGTCTAGAAATGTTGTAGAGTCTGCCGTCTGATTTTGTGTGCATGTACACACCTTCGGTTGAATTCCTGAAAGCATGTTTCAGAAGAAGGGAGAAGAGGATGCCGAAGAGGTTTGGAGTAAGGACACAGCCTTGCTTCACGCCACTTTTGATGTTAAATGGCTTGGACGTGCTGCCATTGTTCTGGGTGGTGGCCTTCATACCGTTTTGTAAAGATCTGATCTTGCTGTGAAGCTTCGGGGGGAAACCATTCTTCAGGAGGATGTTGAAGAGCCCCCCCAGGCTAACCAGTTCAAAGGCCTTGGTCAAGTCTATAAAGGCCATGTAGAAGGTTCTGCTGTTCCCTACACTTCTAATGTAGTTGGCGAAAGGGAGAAGATCATGTCCACTGTAGAACATTCTAAAGCCACATTGGGACTCGAGGTAGACGCATTCTGCCAGCTGTTAAAGACGCACTAACAGCACTCTTGCATACAGTTTGCCTAAGGTGCTTAAGAGGGACATGCCTCTGTAGTTGTTGCAGACACTCCTGTCGCCTTTGTTCTTGTACAAGGTGATGATCTTGGCGTCTCTCATGTCTTGTGGAACACCACCTTCACTCCAACACTGTCAAAGGATGTTAAATAGAGGCTGCGAAAGGGTGGTCTTGCAGTGCCTGATCAATCCCAGGGGCTTTGCTGCAGGCCAAGCTGTTGATAGCCTTGCTGAGTTCTGCCAGTGTTGGTTCAGCGTCTAACTACTCCATGATGGACAGATGATCGATGACTTCCAGTGCTGAGGTGACAACAATGTTCTCTCTGGAATAGAGCTCTGAATAGTGTTCCACCCATTTCTCCGTCTGCTTGGTTTTTCACTTTTCCGCAGCTGGTTTTCAGGGGTGCAGTTTTGCTCTGAGTTGGTCTGAGAGCTTTCTTGATGCCCTCGTACATGCCTCTGATGTTACCTGTTGCTGCTGTATTCTGAATGTCATGACTGAGCTCCTGGCAGTACTCATTGGTGCATCTTCTTGCTGTCTGCTGTACGTTGCTCCTGGCTGATCTGAGTGCTTGAAGGGTTTTCCCACCTGGTGAGCGCTTATATTCAGCAAGGGCAGCATGCTTTGATTCAATAACAGGGGTCAACTCCGCAGACTTGGCATCAAACCAGTCGCAGTTCTTGAAAGTCTTTCTCCCATAGGTAGCAAGAGCTTATTTCTGAATTGCCTTACACAGGTGGTTCCATGATGCAGAAGGGGTGTTACATGGGTAGCCTACAGACAGAGCATCCTCAAGAGACGATGTCAATTCCTCGAGCTTCTCTGGATGTTGCGTCTTAGTCGTGTCAATGCATGGCTTCCCTTCCCTTCCCTGTTTGGAGTGGTGGAGTTTCATTGGCAGCAGTTTGATCTTGCAGCATACTAGTGAGTTATCGGAGTCACAGTCAGAACTGTGGTATGAGCAAGCGAGAAGCACATGCTTGAGGCTTGTTTGTCTGAGGATGACCATGTCAAGCTGATGCCAGAGCTTGGATGGAGGGCCATGACATTCTGTGTTGTGGCTTCGTCTGGAAATAGGAGTTGGTCACGCAGAGGCCATGATAATAGCAAAGCTCCAACAGGCGCTGCCCATTCTCGTTTATCTTGCCAACTCCAAAGAAATCCAAGCAGGAATGGCAAGAGTTATGGTCTGCACCTACTCTGGCGGTGAAGTTGCCAGAGAGGACGAGGTATTTACTACAATGGATGTTCTTGAATGCATCAGTCAGGTTAGTGTAGATCTCGTCTTTTGCTTCAGGTATGGAGGTCAAGGTTAGGGCAAAGGCGCTGATGAGTGTAACTGGTCCCTCAATGGTATGGAAGCGGAGGGTCAGCAGGCGTTCTGATCCCTTGTCACCTGGTTCAATCTCCAGCAAGGTGTTCCTCACTGGAAACCCTACTCCATACTCACTGTGGTCCACAGTGCTCTTTCCTCACCAGAAGAAGGTGTAATCTTTCTCCTTCAAATATTCTGATTCAGCCAGGTGTGTTTCTTTCAGAACGGCTATATCTACCTTCAGTCTCAGTAGCTTGTTGTTGATGACTGCTGTCTTTCTTACGTCACTGATGTTGAGGAGGTCGTCAAGTCCAATTGTCATGGTGTGGACGTTCCAACATCCCAGACTGAGAGCTGGTCTCTTCTTCTTGTTTTTTCTTGGTGTGTTATTGCTTGGTGCAGAAATTCTGGTCTGCTTGTTGGATTTCCTTATCCCCATGCACCCAATGAGGAAGGCAGGCAGACCATGGCGGGAAAGCATCTTACTGGCTGGGGACTGCCCAACTTAAGGCAGGCGGTAGCTGTCCAATGAGATGGGAGATATCTTTCCTACCGCCAGAACCAACACTGGCGCCACATTCTATGCCTATTGAGCATTGTAGCATATAACTGATAGACTTCTGCTTCCCATGTTGTTTCAGCACGGAGAGTCCCCTCCAGGGCGTAAGCCAGGGCAGGGTAATATGGAAGAAAAGCTGTTGCCCAAGTAGCAGGTCCCATCTCCACGGCACTGACTGATCTCATGAAGTAGTGTGCGTATGACACGCCAATTCGTATTTCCATTTTTGGCGTGCTATCAAGACGCATAATCGCTTTTCAGCGTGTTTATGAACGCCGTTGACTTAACGTTACATTACTGTATATATAAATATATGACTTACCTCAACCCCGTCCCTAAACCTAACCGTCACTGGGGTTAATGGCATTTATGACTGTTCCCTTACCATCCTAGGAAAGAAAAAGATAGCTCCCCAGATGTAGATCTACATTTTGCTTCGTTTCGCTCGTAAAGTAAAGTAAAGTAACTATGCCTTGTAAGGCTTTAAATTGTGTTGTGAAATGTACTGGTACTTTGTTACTAAAGTGTTTATGAGGTGAATTAGAGATGGAGTGCAGTTAGCTTTGATTATGACAGCTCTTGTTCACAGTTAATGTTTGCACACTCAAAGTACATTACCCAGTCTCTACCAACTCTTGCTCTGATTATCTTACACTCGAGGGTTTGCTGTTGTCAAGAGTGGTATAGACAAATGCAAGAGTTCCATGACAAAACCATTTGAAAAACATCAAAATAATGTTCACAGAATATAAGGTAAATTCTCAATTCTCAGTAAAAACTTTTTTCCAAATTTGTTTTAGCTTTCTATATATATATCAATGCATAATTAAAATGTAAGTACTCTGATAAAAAGAGTATAGAAATCGAGTGACTCTAGACCGTTTAATTTGCACTAAACACAACTCATTATTTCCAACCGGGACGAAAGAACGGATTGGCTTAGGCGACTGTCACTCTCTCGCAACCATGGCAACCACCCTTTTGCTACACAGGACCTGCCCACTTGCGTGTATCCAGATCGTACCTGTTCACATGCCCTTGTTTGAGCTTGAAGATGCAAAACTCGACGCAGGTCCTCTTGTCTAAAAAGTGCTCCTTGCCCTGCACTTCGACTACCCCGTCCTCGGCCTCTACTTCCTCGACCCTAACAGTACGACCTCCTCTGCTTCGCCCTCGACCACGGATCTGTCCTCGAGTTGACGATGCGGTAGGCTACTTGTCTCTGGAGTGTCAACATGACAACATGACTTTTGCGTAAACATACACGGCACTTTCAAGTCAAGTGGTGTGTTATCTATACACATTTTCAGCTATCTGCGTGTATGCGTGTATGTACACGTTAAATGTCCGAGCAAAACGAAGCAAATGTAGATCTACATCTGGGGGGCTACACGCCGGGCGCTCGGCGCTTCAGCGTGAAAAAACACTCAGCGCCTCGGTACGCTCATGCCGTTTAAAAAACGCTGGGCTCCTATTGAAAACAATTGAAAACGTACGCCAGGCGTGTGGAAAAACACTTTGGTGGACACTCTGCCTTAGCCTATATCTTCATCTTGCTCGGATTACTGCTGCCACTTCACCAGGAGGCATATGCCAGGAAACCCGCTTCCTAAGTTACTCCTGCTTTTAAGATGCAGAGAATTTTTAGAGCAAAACAGAGACACACTTTCAACGGCTTTTTCTGTACATAATGCAGAATACATAATTAGGCGCAGTTTACGCTTCCCCTCCTATCTCTTTATGTGACACTTCCACTTTCCCCTTGACCATCCCATGAATGCATATGCATGACACGAAAAGTGCATTTTGCCATTTTCAGTTCCTGCACTTTCATCTCTGTGCGTCCTGTTTGTACATACCTCGCCATGGTTTTATGCACACTTTGCGAAACAAATACGCCTGAAGTGGGCACACAAGCGTTAGTACATCTGGCCCTGACTGATTCTGCTGCAAGCTGTGGATGTGCGACTGACCTTCAAGGACTCGACCTGCTGGCACAGCATCTGCAGGAGCGACTTTATGTCCTCGACCCAGTGAGGAGTCGTTTTGGGCGAAAACTGGAGAAGGGAACAACAGTCAGGAACTGTAACGCTCTATAAACAGCAAGCAAAGCTTCTACAGAAGCATCAGTGCCATGACATACCATAGATCTTTTAGATGGAGACGGAGTGGAGAACTTCACATGTGACTCGGTGGGCTGACCGGGGCTGGACGTCAGCGGATAGTCCACATGATCTTCATCCCGCTCGTCATCTTCTGCAAGCTGATGGTTGACCTCGTTCAGCATATCCATCACATCCTCCATAGATGCAGGCAACTTAAAACATGAAAAAACAGAATTAAATGACTAGTAGTTCATTCAAAATCAGTTGCTCATTATCATTTAAAGAGACATGCACCGAAACGGGTCTCTGTGAACTGGTGGGCTGACCGGGGCTGGACGTCAGCGGGTAGTCCACATGATCTTCATCCCGCTCGTCATCTTCTGCAAGCTGATGGTTGACCTCGTTCAGCATATCCATCACATCCTCCATAGATGAAGGCAACTTAAAACATGAAAAAACAGAATTAAATGACTAGTAGTTCATTCAAAAGCAGTTGCTCATTATCATTTAAAGAGACATGCACCGAAACGGTTCTCTGTGAACTGGTGGGCTGACCGGGGCTGGACGTCAGCGGATAGTCCACATGATCTTCACCCCGCTCGTCATCTTCTGCAAGATGCTGTCTGACCCTCAGGACTCCACTTCCTATTTAACATTAATCTCATTGGATAACCTTCAATCACCAAGACAATGTCCCTATTTGAATTCCCCAAACACAGTCAAATTATTTTTTTAATTATTTAAGTTATTTATTTCATTTCTGCAGTTTACACCCAAGTACAAACTGCACTGCCAGATATTACCCCATGTTAGTGCTGTGTGATATGGACAAACACTACCATTACTACACAACTACCACTTGACAAAAAGTTAATAAATGGATTGTAAAACGAATCCAAATGAATTAGGGGTTAAGTCCAAATTTTCTGAAGACACTTAATCACTTTATACAGTGAACATTTAGAATTTAGGCTTTTATTAACTTATAAATATTGATCAGTGAACATAAACAGAAGATCAATGACCCTGCTTGACCAACACGAGAATGAACCTCATTGGTTCTCGCTGAAGCTCAAACGTGATGCGTAACATGAGAATGAACCTCATTGGTTCTCGCTGAAGCTCAAACATGATGCGTAACATGAGAATGAACCTCATTGGTTCTCGCTGAAGCTCAAACGTGATGCGTAACACGAGAATGAAACTCATTGGTTCCCGCTGAAGCTCAAACGTGCTGCGTAACACGAGAATGAACCTCATTGGTTCTCGCTGAAGCTCAAACATGATGCGTAACATGAGAATGAACCTCATTGGTTCTCGCTGAAGCTCAAACGTGATGCGTAACACGAGAATGAACCTCATTGGTTCTCGCTGAAGCTCAAACGTGATGCGTAACACGAGAATGAACCTCATTGGTTCTCGCTGAAGCTCAAACGTGATGTGTAACACGAGAACGAACCTCATTGGTTCTTGCATGACAAGTGAATATGCTTGAGGTTCCATTTATCACAACTGATGTGTAAATTGATCAAACTTATGTGAATTAAAGCCTAAATTCAACATATGTGGTTCATCAAAACAAAAAAATTAAATTGTCATTTAATAGTCTTGTTTCCATTATTACTGACAAAACAAACTTATTCAATATTTCCTTTCATTGGTGGGTGGGACTTTATCAACCCCTCGCTTCTGCCTGGACCAAGGAACGTTTTAACCGTTTGATTTTTTGGTATAATTAACAAAGGAAAAAAAACCCAGAAACAGCTAGGCCATTTTTCCATTTTTTTTTTATTTTGACCTGAAACGAAAAACTAACATTCAGTTTGATTTTTCGTTTTTTTTAATCAAAACAAAAAAACGAAATTCAGTCTTGCTAGTGACAAAAAAATGTATTACTCAATATTTCCTTTCATTGGTGAGTGGGACTGTATCAACCCCTCGCTTCTGATTGGATAGTGTTCTCCGTCAGTTATGTCTGTGCTTCAGGCTACTTTTCAAAATTAAGGTTCTCCCAAATAATTTCGATTACTGCTGTGGAGCTCTCTCTTTGCTTTAAGAGGATGCAATGTCTCCACAAAAATACACACTTAGATAACAACTTATTTGTAACAACAAATAAGTGTTTTTTGTAAAAACAAATAAGTAAAACAAATTTGTTTTGTAAAAACAAATTTGTAAAAACAAATAAGTGGCGGCGTTGTGAGTTTAATTTGATTGAAGAGGTTTGATGGTTGTCATTTCGTCAAGTCATGGTATGAAAAAATGTACGAACACATTATTGTCACGGGTTAGGTATCTATTCAGCAAACTGCAGGAAATGAAAGTGAAAGTTAGAAGTTTCTGATGTTCAATATCGACAGTCGTCATCATTAAGAGTAAAGAAACTAAATGATTTCATCAGTGCTGTTGTCGCCCTCTCCTATTGCGGTCTTTCGTTTTTAATTAGCGGTTGATCAATACATTCCAGACACATTTAGTTTAGATATCAGATCTGATCAGTAGAAACGCCTGAAGTGGACAGGTGTGTGTAAATAGACCCTAATTTCACTGAGGCGTTTCTGACAACACAAACAGAACAGCGAAGCGGAGAGACTTTGAAACAAGGAACTACTCGAGGACAGTTCATACTATATAAATCCCAATGAAGACATCGCCGTCTTATCCCTGGCATCTTGACTCACCTCTGTGTGAGAGAGAGAGGAGCTGTGGACTCTAGAGATGTATCGCTCCACCTCAGCTTTATTCCTCCTCATGACTGGGTCCAGCTCTCCTTCTCCGGCGCGGGTTTAGCTGAGATTCATTCAAACACGAGTTAGATGATCAATGTCTGCTCAACAACACACGATCACTAATGACATGGTGTGTGTTCAAGTTCTCCTGTAAACACACCCCGACAGGTGTGTTCACATCACTTTGGTCGGAGTAAGATGGCGGAGTACTTCCTCTTAATTAGCTTTTCATTTTGAGTGCCTCAGAATTACTGTTTATCTGGGATACACACTTTCTTGTTCTAGAAAATGAAGAATAAAGAAATATGCATCGGGTGAAGGCAACTTGTTTTTATGTTTTTAGTTATTTTATGAATCCATGAATCTATTTATTTTTATTGAAGAAATAACAAGACAAACAATAGAAATATAGATTTCAAATGGTATGGGGCGGTACATATAGTATTACAGAAATACTTTACAAGGGGTACATACTTGTAAAATTCCTTTTGTTTCGTCGAGGTCAATATTGACTCAATATAAAGTTTCACTTCACTTTTAAATGCAATAAAACATGGCTTTTTCCCTAAAAAAATTGCATTTATGAATGTGAAATTTAGCCATCAAAATAATAAAATAAGTACAGGTTTTTTTTTTTTATCTTTTAAGTTAACAATACCCAGTAGAACATCTTTCCACAGTAATATAACATTTTCATCAATATTTCCAACAATCAAAGAAAGAACATTTTGCCAAAAAAAAGACACATAAGGGCAGTGCCAAAATACATGAACAGCTGTCTCTGGCTTCTTTTTGCGAAAACTACAACTTTCATCAATATGTTTTTAAAATCTGGATAAGTAGCCTAGTGTTTAGCAGTCTCCTAAAGTTTAAGTTTAAAAGACACTTCTTTAAACTTATTGGTTGATAGAAAGCGATTGGGGAGAAGCCAGACTTTTTTCCAGTTAACATCACTCACAAATTGACTCCAGTACGCAAAAACATTTGGTCTTGAAACAACATCTTTCTGGAAAAGGGCTCTTATTGACCTGTTAATTATAATGAGAGGCGAAACATATTTTACCTACAAGAGATGACAGGGGTGGAGATTGCTGGTAGTCTGGTAAGCTTTTTTGCTGTTTAAATAACATACAAATTTTAGGAGAAATTGCTCCAAAAACAATTGCAAATTCCCTTGGTGGTATAGGAATATTATATTTGAGCATGAATTCTTAGTAAAAAGAAGGCCATCTGAATTAAATCATTGGTCTACCAAAACAATATTATCACGAAACCAATTTAAGGAAGATGTTTTTTTGTTTGAAAAGAATGTCCTTATTATTCCAGATAACGTATTTGTGTGGTAAAAAGTTGTCCAACTTTATCGTTATATGTGGTATAGTTATATTATAATGACATCATATTCTGTGCAGGCAATCAGCTTCTGCGCTAGATAGAAAAGCCTGACAATATCACAGCCTTTAAATTGTGTGGTAGTCCATCTTTCTCAGTGACACGCAAGTGATCTAAGTCCAAAATGTGTAATGTGTAAGTCCAAAATTTTTATCTCCTCCCAGAGAAACATGTCTTTTCTTAATGTTTATTAATCCTCCTGACTCTAGAATCTCATTCTAGACGTGCTTGTTTATTTGAAAGCCCTTTTTTTACTCTCATTCATGTTTATTGTCTTCAAAACATCTTTATCTGCATCTTGTTGTTTTTTATTGAAAAATTTTCAAAGAAAACAATCATAATATAGAACAAATAAACAGAAAAAAGCACATAAAACAAAACAAAACAAAAAAAAGCTACAAAACAGGGGTAAGTAATCAGAAAAAAAAATTTATCAAAGGAAAAGATTAAAATACTTGCATATTTCAATAGTTTTTAAAGCCTTGGTACATGAGTCAGAGATAGTCCCAAAGTAATGCTGTATTTCAATAAGCAAGACACTGAAAAGTCAAACACATTGGTTTGATTATTCATAAAGGAGTTTGGGCCATGCAAATTACGGGAGTTTCCCAGGAAAAATAACAAACCGAGAGGAGTCCGGCAGATAGGGCTAAAAAACGTGAGAAACCCGGGAAAAACGGGAGTTTTGACAGGCATGATCCACTGTGTCACTGGCGCTGGTGTAGAAGTTCCTGCACTGCTACAGCAACTTCCTGTGTTCTGAGAAGCTTATGACGGCACATGTGCATCGTGTGTAAACATATAGTTACTGTACAGAATCTGAACATGTAAATATTTCAATATAACAAAATACGTTTTTAACTACAATTGTATTTAATGCCGCCTAAACTAAGCTACTTTACAGATGTTTATATCGACAAATGTCTTGATCGCGGTTCTCTGTTCCTTTGTTCTCAAAAAGGATTTAAAGAGTGAATTTTGAATTAATCTGTTCTTGTATGTGGATTCAGGCGGCAATTAAATTACCACACTCCTTTAGTATTTGTCAAAAACCAGTAGGTGACTGGAGACTTTGAAACTAAGACATTCTGGATTCGGACGGCAATAAAATCACAGACTAACCCCTGTAAATGTTGAAGATATCTTACGACCCCAAGAGAAACAATTATACATTTCTTGACAACAGCCTCCGTGGATGTGAGAATATTGTTCGTGACATTGGTCATAGCTATGTCCGGATCAGTGAACTCCCTGTCCTCCCCTCCGTACGTGACCCACAGAATCCCGTACCGGACTCCCTGCCGGTCGCGAAGCAGCTTCCTCACTTCCGAGCTTCAGCCACAGTTGCAGTGTAGTCCAGGAAGATGGTTATTGGTTCCCCGTTGAAACGGAGTGGACCAGGAGTGCGGGCGCGTCGCAGAATCTGGACACAATCTTGGTAATAATGAAGCTTAGCGATGATGCCGTAACACATTCTCATCCCAAAAAGTCATATAACTGACGTCTTGGGACGTCTTTTGACCATACGTCAATATCCGCCTTTTTAGGGCCGCCTTAAACGTCGGTAGATGGTGATCCTGGGCCGTCATACAACTGACGCTTTACCTTTAACGTCTGTTAGGTGACGGGTTAGGTTTAGGTCTGGGGTAGAGTTAGGATCCCATAACCTCATCTACCGACGTTTAAGGGGGCCCTAAAAAGGCGAATATTGACGTATGGTCAAAAGACGTCCCAAAACGTCAGTTATATGACGTCTTGGGATGAGACTGCGCTGGATGCCGCAAGGTTTTCCGCCTGTCTTCTTTGGCCCTAGGCTGATCGGTCGATCAACGGCTCTTTATCCAACCCTAGCACCTCAGTTACCAACTTTGATAACGAGGTTGTATTGCTGGTGTCGGGAGTTTCAGGTACTCCAATGATCTTATGTTACATCTCCTCATCCGCCCTTCCATATCCTCACAATTTGTTTTCAGTTCTGCCATTTCTGCCTTCATCTCACTCACTGTTTTTTGTAAAGTAGCCACTTCATCTGATAGCCCCCCCTCAACCTCTTTAATGTTAACTTTCACCTGGTCGATCTGTTTGTGATCTCGGTTTTCACCGCCTTCAACTCGTTCTTGAGCATTTCGAAGTCATCAGTGAGGGCATTTTTCAGCTCTGACTTTATCACCGTTGAGATGTCCGCTTTCAAAGAGAGAAGATTTCTGATTTCAAGACTTCAGCGTCCATCTCTCCCGAAGCAGGTGAGGGCAGGGTCACTTTAGCTGAGCTCTTGGCAGTACTCTGGTCTGAGGAGGTATTGGGCCTTGTTTTGGAGGATCCAGTATACTTAAATTTCTTCTGCTTTGTGTCCATCAGGGCACCGTCGTGGACTTGTTCCACTATCCGATGTTTAATAATAGTTTACTGTTGTATGGGAAGTATTACACTTTATGCTTTTCGGTTGAAATAGAGGCTTGACGGGAGCACATGTCGAACACAGCTTACCCCATTGCGGCCAGTTTGCTATATTAAACAATTCCAGACTTATTTTAAGCATTGCATGCAGATATATAAATGATGACTTGAGAAGTTATAATTAGGGGTTTAACTGAAGCACGTGATTATTCTTGGAGTTAAACCATCCTGATATGTTTTCATGATTGAACGGGCGGCAGCGGGACTTCAGTCGGAGGGTTTGGCTCGTCGTCAATCTTTAAATCACGGCAGAACAGCACTGGTTCTTGCCCGAGACCCAGTTGGTACTGCCACAGATAGACAGACTTGTTCGGCTCCAGATCAAATGAGAGTTGTTCTTCCTCTTCAGTCGCTTCGTTCCAGCTTTCTTTTTCAGTGCTGACGTGTGACCCTCCATATTCTGCAGAAAAGGTGAACTGAACCTTCGCGATTAACTTTGCAAGATCTCCAGTTTCAGATGTGACTGATGCGGATATCTTCCAGTTGTGTGTGATCTGGGTCATCTTCTCCTTGGTGTAGCCAACCTTTTTATTGATTTTCCTGCGCCATGTTACTGGTTTACTTGTGTCATTAGTTATAGTTTTAATATTCTCCCACATGCCAAACGATGGGCCTTTAGTTACTGACAGCCCACCAGGAAGGAAGTTAAGAACATCAGGATGAACAGAATAGACACCAACGGGCTCATCTTTGCTGAAGCCGGTTCCCCTGTAGAACTCAACTCCCCACTCTGAGACGGGCTTGATGAAGGAGAAGTGACCAATTAAGCCATGGCCCAGGTAATAGAGGCCATTTCTGCAGTTGGGATGGAGCGTGTATTCTACAGCTTCCGAGTCGTGATTCAGGTTTTTTGTTCTTCGATATGTGCCCTTTTCTTGGAATATGATGTAAAAATAGTGATTGGTTGCGAGGTAGTGGTCTCCACCCTGGAAGTTGGAATGAAGGCTGTCAACTTTAGCTTCGCTGTCTTTCTCCAGGTTCTTGACTCTGCGGTAGGAATTTCCTTTGATGATGTAAAAGTAGCTATAACAATCGCCAACATAGTGGTCTCCATTTTGGCAGGCAGGGTGCAGACTGTGAATAGAGATGTCTGTACCTTCATTTAAATCTCTTATCTGCATAAAGCAGCCGAGATCAGAGCGGATTACATAATACCAGTCGCCCATTCCACAGAAGTCAGTGCCTTTTGCTTTGCTCCTGGGAATAATGCCTTTCATCGTGCCTGAACCTGCAACACAGAATAAGACAATCGTTCAACCTCCACACCAGATGAATGCGGTTATTATAGTCCTTTTATATATTGAGCTCACTGATTACCAAAACACCTTACAAAAAGATAGCAAATTAATCTTCATTTGTCAAATTGTTTAGACGATATAAGCTAATCATATCGTAGCCATGTCTCAATTAACATACCAACCTTTCATCAAGATTTCCTCATTCAATTAAATAATACAAATTCACACACTTGTCAAGTCACCTTTATTTATATAGCGTTTTTTACAATACAGATTGTTTCAAAGCAGCTTTACAGAGATAACAGGAAAATAATGCAGCAAAGTTTGTTTCTAGATGAAAATAGCGTCACAGACCAACTTAAGTTAGTTCAGTGATGGTTCATTTTTGTTGTAGTTATTAGTTTAGTTCATTTATATATCGAGGCACTGTGGTGAAAACGTCTCGGGTTACTTACCAATGTAACCTTTGTTCCCTGAGAACAGGGAAAGAGACACTGCATCGATGGCGCTTTGGGGAACGCCTCGGGTGTGACAGTTGTCTGAAATTACTATCAAATCATGGCAGTCATATTGACCAGCGACAGTCCGTGAATCATTAACGTGTGACCTGGATGTTCATAAGGGAGAGCAATGCCATTGGCATTGGACAATCAGAACCAGAAAATTCAAATGAAATGCTAGAACCGCTCACCGTCAGGTCAGGCTGGGCTTTCCCTACAGTCATAGCCCAAGCTATACGCTTCACAGAAAAACCTCTATTCTAAAAACCTGTTATCTCTACGCATTTTGAGCTATCCGCGTGAATCTGCGTGTATGCGTGTATGTCTATGCCATTAACGTCCAAATGATTCCGCGTGTCCGTACACGTGTGTCAAATGTCCAGTCATAAATGCCATTAACCCCAGTGACGGGTAGGTTTAGGGACGGGGTTGAGGTAAGTCATATGTTTATATATACAGTAATAACGTTAAGTCAACGGCGTTCATAAACACGCTGAAAAGCGATTATGCGTCTTGATAGCACGCCAAAAATGGAAATACGAATTGGCGTGTCATACACACGCTACTTCATGAGATCAGTCTACACAAGGGGACTTAAAGGCCAATTTATACTTCTGCGTAGGGTGCGCGCAGTAGGTACGGCGTAGCATACGCACAGACGCGTCCCATATCGCGTACCCTTCGCCGTCGCCTGACGCGCACCTCTTCAAAAATGTAACTACACGTCGCAACGACGCGGACCGCAAGATCGGTGATTGGTCGTCTTGGTAGCATCGTATTTCCTCATACGCATTTCCGCACGTACCTTCTCACGCATTTCCACACGTACCATCTTCTCCGACGTCTTCTGTCATTTCTGCCTTTCAGTTTTAGTAATTTCACTAAAATTAACTGTTTTTCCACCCCAATAAGCTCCAACTCCAACATGATCCACTCTCTTTCAGTCGCTATTGCTTGTAGTAACCTAGCCGCGAGGAATCTAAACACAGTGGAACATTAAAACCCTCCGCCGCCTCCTAGCGTTTCGGAGCAGTACTGCAGAGCAACCAAGACCTGAACGCAGAAGTATAAATGCTCACAACGGCGTCGCCTACGTGCGAAGCCAACGCCGTATCCTCGACGCAGAAGTATAAATTGGCCTTAAGGCAGCACAAAAGGACCTCGATCATCATTTGAGGATGGCACAGACACCATATAGAGAACGGGCTGAACGACATTTGGGAAATTGTGACACAAAAGAACTGTGGAGTTCAATCCTGGGAATGACCAACATGACCTCGACAAGGAAGCCACTGTTCGCCGGTAATGAAACTGATACGGCAAATTAACTGAATTATTTTTATAGGAGATTTGAGTCAGACACTTTTAAGGAGTGTTGTGATATTTTAGGTAATAAGCTGTAATGTTAGTGATGATAGAATATTAATAGACTCAGGGGATGTTACAAGGGTTTTTTAAAAATGTACAGTATGTTCTAGTAAGGCAACTGGACCAGATGGTATGTCTTGTTTTCTTTTAAAGACGTTTGCTGAGGAGCTCACACCTGCGGGCATCGGCTCTTCCAGCTCTCAATTGACTCGTATCCAGTACCAGGGCTTTGGAAAAAATCGATTATAATCCCAATTCCAAAAAAAGTCTTGTCCTCAAGACAATAATGACAATAATAAGGCCAGTGGCCTTAACATCAAATGTTATGAAATCATTTGAGAAGATCATTATAGGAGAACTGCGTAAGGAAGTGGAGCCGTCCTTAGACCAATATCAATTAGCATATAAAAACAACCGTGGTAAATGATGCAATTTCTACATTAATGCACCTTGTTTTAAAGCATCTGGAGAGTCATTGGCGGTAAAACTCCTAAGCGGTGAACAGCCGGTAACAAGAAGTAGTCGAATGAGAACGTCCTCGTCTCAGTTCTTGCACATGCGCCCATAAGGAAGTAATGGAATAGTGGAATAAAGTCGTTATTCATGTTTTTTTCGCACAAAAAGTAGTCTCGTCGCTTGATAAACTTATAATTGAGCCGCTGTAAGCACATTGAATATTTAAACCTTTTCTTTAATGACTTTATGGGCCGTCAAGAGCCAGTCCCTTAGGCAGTCTATATAGGACTGATCCAGCTCTCAGATTCAATCAAAAATATCTTTATTTGTGTTCCGAAGATGAACGAAGGTCTTACGGGGTTGGAACAGCATGGGGGTGAGTAATTAATGACTTAATTTTCATTTTTGGGTGAACTAACCCTTTAAGATATGGAATTGTTGTTTAGTTTGGTAGTTTAACACTAAAATTGAAATAATTTTGCGAGAGTGGCATGAAAAATCATGGGGACACAGACAATTAGCTCCTTACAGGATATTTTGGAGCATTTCGAGCACTATACAGCAGACCAACAAGATTTCATTAGACTCCTCCTCACACCTGAGTATGCGCTGATGAACTCTGGTCGGAGATACGGGTTTCTATTGTGTAAGCATAACCGATACAAATATTCTTTTGTACCACTGTCTGTTAAATTAATTAATGAGCAACTGCAGCAAGAAGATAAATAGCTGGTATAACAAGAACTGACTTTTTATGATGCAGGGTTTTTATGATTTGTAATGTTTGTTAATGTGGCATGTGTTGTTATGGCAGCAGTTCCCTAATCCAAAATAAATTCCTCCCAAGGGAGACAATAAATGCTACCTTGACCTTGACCTTGAATTTCAACATGTACAGGGTCTGTGTTTTTCTCTCAGCACCCGTCTATTGTCACCGGTTGAATAGTAAATCTATAGTAATGTCAGGGTTATTTCTATGTACTTTCTATACAAATTCGAATAGGGATATATAAAATACGGGAAGATGGATATGAACAAGTTACCAATATTTTTTCAACACTCTGTAAATTAGACAAGGTTTTTCTTTAACCCTGTATTTTATATCTTATATTTTCTTGTCATTTAAAGATTCCCTTTCTAATATTAATTACTAGTTAGCATATTTAAAATAGCTGTATCTCAAAATACTAGAGTCAGAATTCAAGTCTTCAAAAGAACTAGTCCACAAGTGCTCAGTATTAGAAACATACTCACTTGTTGGAATGTAGAGGGAGTCAGAAGAGCAGCTTCTCCTCGATCGAGTCTGAGAGATAAAGCTCTCTGCCTTATATAAAGCTCTGGGCAAAAACACACCCACAAGTCTGAACAGACCCATCAGGAACAGCTCGTGTATTTTAACAGTTTTTGCATTGATGCGAAAAGGTATTTGCCCCTGTTCCAGTTCATACTAGAGAACTGGAACTGACCTGTCATGTAATGTAGGAGTAATAACTACAGTATGCCCAAATCTTCCTGTAGACATTAAGACCTCTCCCACTATCTCTATTTTTAAATCCAGATTAAAAACGAAACTTTTTTACGATGCTTTCTACTGACTCTTTTTATGGTAACACTTTAGAATACGGTTCCTTCGTTAATGAATAACTACACAAGAACTAATGAGTAACACAATATTAACAATCTAGTAACTATTATTAACTAACAAGAAACTCTGATTAACGAACTAGTAAGTAATAGCGCACAGACGAAAGTGGTAGTTCACTATTAAGTAATCAATAACTACTATTTTTTAATACTTCCCAGAGAACTACTGAAAACTTTTATTAACAATCTAGTAACTACTATTAACTAAAATAAACTCTTATTAACGAATTAGTAAGTAATAGCTCACAGATTCAAGTGTTACTAGATACTTCTGTGGGAATTACTAATTATTTGGATCCGTATTATAAAGTGAAGATCATTGGAACTAACTAGTAATTACTCAAGTGTTACTACAGACATTTTCTAAAAGTATACTAAAGTTCACCAAAAATCTCAAACGTTTGCACAAATCATGACTGGATCATGTAGTAACACTTGAGTAATTACTAGTTAGTTCCAATGATCTTCACTTTATAATACGAATCCAAATAATTAGTAATTCCCACAGAAATATCTAGTAACACTTTCATCTATGAGCTATTACTTACTAATTATTTGGATCCGTATTATAAAGTGAAGATCATTGGAACTAACCAGTAATGACTCGAGTGTTACTACATGATCTAGTCATGATTTGTGCAAATGTTTGAGATTTTTAGTGAACTTTAGTAACTTTTAGAAAATGTCTTTAGTAACACTTGAGTAATTACTAGTTAGTTCCAATGATCTTCACTTTATAATACGGATCCAAATCTAGTAACACTTTCATCTGTGAGCTATTAATTACTAATTCATTAATAAGAGTTTATTTTAGTTAATAGTAGTTACTAGATTGTTAATAAAAGTTTTCAGTAGTTCTCTGGGAAGTATTAAAAAAAATAGTAGTTATTGATTACTTAATAGTGAACTACCACTTTCGTCTGTGCGCTATTACTTACTAGTTCGTTAATCAGAGTTTCTTGTTAATTAATAATAGTTACTAGATTGTTAATATTGTGTTACTCATTAGTTCTCGTGTAGTTATTCATTAACGAAGGAACCGTATTCTAAAGTGTTACCCTTTTTATTTCCTTGTAAAGCTGCATGGTTTTTTTTTTGTTTGTTTTTTTGATTGATGTCTATTAATATTGATTGATGTACAGTATGTAAATTGGTTCTTAACTGCAATGATTATGTAAAGCACATTGGGCTACCTGTGTATGAAATGGGCTATATCAATAAACCTGAACCCAAATATTTGAAGCCACTGATTGCATGTATAAAGTGAAGGTGGTTAACTTTATAATTGATTTTATAGCCAAATCTCTCAAGCTTTGTGAGAGAGAAAAAAGACGTCTTCGTACAATCCGATGGTCACGATCTACACAATCTAATGCTCTTAATGATAGAGTGTCACGACTGCAGCCTCTAGCATCTGTCGCTCTAGCCCCTATTGAGATCAGAGGAGTGAGGTTTCCTCGCACAGCAACTTTATCTGCAGTCTTTTCATATTTTGTACTATTTTTGAGTTTCTCCAAAGGTGCTTTTTGTCTGCCATTCTTCTTCCTGACTTTCACAGTAGCAGTGTCATCAATTACACTTTTAACTTTTGAGTAAAAAGAATCAATGAGAGAATCACCAGAGTCAGCAGTCGCTGCAGTCATCAAGACCCAGTAAGGAAGCTGTACATTGTAGTTGTAAACACATTTTAAGGGGAAATCCTTACAAATGAAGACAAATCACCTGGATGACAACCTTAAAGAAAGCGTACAAATGAAATATTCAGGTAGAGGAACTCACCCTCGACTCTAGATTGTTATCAGTCCTTATCTGTCATCATAACTATTCAAAAAGTCTGACACAGGCTCCAAAAGGAATTAAAGACAAAAGGTCTCAGTGATCTGACTCGCTTGACTTTGACAACGAAGAGAACAGGAATGGCAGGAATCTCTTGCTAAAATCTTTGCTTAGCTGAATCATTCATCTGATATCACCTTCTTTACCTTAAACACTAAATACAATGAACTTTTCACTTTAGTTTTTCATGTGATGTTATGTTAGGACGACGGATCAGATGATCTTAAATTTGCAATCCAACAGTTATGTTAAATTGGTGTCACCACAGTCTTGTATTTCTCACATAATTTCTCCAGGTGAAATACAATAAAAAGGATTGACAAATTAATTAGCAACATTATTTATTTGAAAGCAATATTAACTTTCAATTTTTATTCCACAAGTAAAAGGAACACAGAGGCACAATGCACACCATGGCTGTCTAAAAAGAGTTTTAGTCCTTTGCTGTCTTCCACACTGACAACACAATCCACTTCGGGAACTGATCCCTTCATGTCTGATCAAGACAAACTTACGGCTGAGAACATTTCTGCAGAGAAATATCCATTTTCTGGTTGGTAAGGAGAGGCAAGGCAAGTTTGTTTATATAGCACATTTCATACACAATGGTAACTTAAAGTGCTTTACATAGAAGAAATTAAAACAATCAAAAGTAATAAGAATAATTAAAACAGTGTAGAATAAAAAATAAAATACAGTACAAACAGTGGCACAGTAAATGCATAGCTAAACAGATGTGTTTTGAGTCTACTGTAGTAGGAGCACATCTGATCTGCGCCTGGAGCAAAAGGAGAGCGTTTCCTCTCGAGTCCCTCCTGCGGGAGCCTGGCAACAGAGGAAACGCTCTTATTATAAATCCTCTGGTCAGAAGGGCGACCTGAGGGCCATCATTCAGGCCAAGAGGGCTTCAGGAAAGAGGTCCTAGCCAGATTAGTAGGACCTCTAAGGATTGCAGAAACTACCACAGGTTCATCAATGCCGTCAAAATGATTCATTTCTTTGTTTGTTTGTTGATCAAAAAGTACAAAATAGATAAGAAAACCTAGGAAGTATTTAAAGTGCTGCCATTACTTGTTATGTGGATAGTAGATGAACCCAAACGCAGACAGTATGCTAACACACAAGGTTTATTATAACAGAAAACAAAACCCACGAGGGGGTAAAACAGAGACAATACAAATGAGGGATAAACTAGATAACACTTGACAAAAACTAGACTATTAACAAACAGCAAATACAAGACGTTCTTCTGAGAAAAGGTACTAACAGGTAGACTCTCACAAAGTGTGACAAAGTTTTACAATGAACCGGCACAGGACAACAAACACAAGGGGATTATGAAGGGAGACACTAATGACAAGGACAGGTGAAGCTGACTACACAATAATGACAAGACCAGGATAACAAGGGGGCAGGGTAACATAACGTGACAACACAAGCACATGGCCCAAACAGAAAAAGCACATTATAACATTTTTTGATGACAGCTGAAACTGCGTCTCGAACAGTCCAGAAGGCGAAAGCGGCACGTCCATGAGGAAAGATCTATCTTTGTCCTTTATTCCAGAAAGATTAAGCCACAGATGCCTCTCCGTAGCATCATAGCTGCCATGGAACGGCCGATAGAGTGTGCTGTTTCTTTAGTGGCCCGGAGAGAAGAATCTGTGGCCTTTCTCTATTCCGCAATGTCTGCAGGAGATGGTGCCTTGCCCTCATCTAAATCGTTAAAGGGCACCTATTATGGCCCTTTTTACAAGATGTAATATTGAACTCTGGTGTCCCCAGAATGTATTTGTGAAGTTTCAGCTCAAAAGACCCCACAGTTAATTTATTATAACCATTTGAAAATGTCATTTTAGGGGCCTGCTTAAAAATGAGCTGTTTTGGGCTATACCACCTTAAATGCAAATGAGCTGCATATCCCCGCCCTGCCTTTGGATGAGGGCGTAACTTGATACCTATGCAGTCGGTCTAAGCAGAAGGGCTGAGAGAGTGAGAGAGCCGCTGTTTTGAATGTCATTCAGCCGTACATGTTTGAATCGGAATATATAAATAGTCTCTGATCAGACCCAGATGACGAAGAGACTCCGGCAGAATAATCACAAATGAGAATGGACCAGTACGTCTCGGTATGGTTATTTGATACATTTATGTACTTATAGAGTTGTAATCGCGTCCCCTTTGAAATTATGGATGTGCAACACACACACACATACACACACAAACACTAACGTTGGCGCAATTTTTTGAAACTACAAACACATACTGTGATAAAGTTTGCTACGTACAAGCGAAATTACATTTATGCGAGGGACCTGTTAAATCATTTTTACATTACTGTCATACAGGTGCTTCTGTGGCAAATGTGAGAAGATGGCTAACTTGCAGAACAAGAACATATATGCAGTTTTAATACAGTATCTTTATATATATATATATATATATATATACATATATATACGTGTGGTTACACACTATACAAACAATGTTTAAATTATAAACACAGACATCCTCCGACGACAACAACTGTAGACGCCTTTGTTGTTGAATTGGCTGACATCGACTGAAATGACTATTTGCTCAAAAATCATAAAACACACTTACTGTTACTGGAGGTGACGGTGGATCGCAAACAGTAGATGACGATCCACAGTTAAGGATTAACTTTGAAGCAAGACCTGCTTTCAATTGACCCTCGTTCACAAAACAGTCAGTCAGAAAATGATTCGCTCAAACATAAACTTATTTACGAAGGAAAGCCGACACTTAAACTTCCAAAATTCAATACATCCACTGTGTTTTCAGTGGCTCGATGTAATTATGTAATAAATATGTAATAAAATATATGTAATTGTTATGTCCCATCTCATCCCACAACAGCAC